TCATCAGTTGAAGGTTTTGGTCGACCTTCTCGGGGCTCATCCTCTACGGAAAAATTTCCCGGCTGGAATTTTCGGAACCACTTAGAAATAGTGTTTACGCCGAAACCCGAATTACATGGCGAATTTCTGTTAGTGTCGGTGGTGGAATTTCGTCTGACCTATCCTCAGCTATCTTACGTTTTCTCGTCTCCTTTTTAGCAGATGGTTCTAAAATTTGAAAGGAGGACTAATAAAGTAATTACAAGAAGTTTCGTTTTTTAAACTTAACAAAAACAAACTGACTGAACTTTTGGTCATACCCCGTATGTATATACATTTGACGCATTGTAACTGCTGGAGCGATTCTCGGCCGAAATTCTCCCCCAATTTATAGTGTGCGTATTGATTTTTTTTTTTCAAGAAATGAAGGAAATATAAAATAGCAAATTTCCTTTAATTGTAAACTTGTTTAAAATTATACATGCATACTAGCAGCTGGCGGAGTTTCAAGCTGTGGCCATAACCTTTGACAATATACTATCTCTCTTCCAGTCGGGTGGTACGGCCGGTTGGTAGGGAAAGTGGCTAATTAGGCTATAAGGTATAGCGGAGCATGTTTTGTTTTCCAAGCATTTGTGGCCAGTGTTGCCAGCAGCAAAGTGTTCATATCTCAGCCTAAAAGGTATCCAAAAGTATGCATTTCTTACAGACTCCACTGAATATTCCAATTTTTGATGCATTTAATGGTTATTCGCCTTTTCTAGTACTTCAGTTCACAATAAAATAAAGGATGGTCAAGTCCTCCGGATGTATTTCTGACATAATAAATAAAAGCTCCTCACAATTGGAAGCGGAGCTAGGCCTAAAACCCTTCAGCGGTTACAAATCGCTAACTATATTATACTTATATGTATATATATAAACATAACAAAAGTAAAAAAAAAATTACATCCGAATTAGATTATCGATTGGGGTCGATTCATGGTTGGGAGAGAACTAATCGCCCAATCCTGCAAAGAAGTCTTGTTCGTATCCCACCAATATATCAAAAGTATTATTTGTTGACTTTACCACCAGAATAGCCAAAAAAAGAAACATACCCAAATGGGTTGAGGCTGATCGATTTCGATGGGGCAAGAAATTTGTTTGCCTGACAACGGGCTAGGTTCCAGCTTAAGAAAGAACATCAAGCTATTTGTCTGTATCCGTATCGAAAAGCACAAAATTAGACCCATCATATATTGAGAGACGAACGACATGTGTCCGGTGTACTTGGCGTGCGTACGCTGCGAGGGCATAACATCAAATCCACCACTATTTGTTTCAGCGAAGGATACACCCACCTCTGCTCAGCAAATATTGCCAATCAACAAACACGAGGAAGGTGTCGTGTGATTTCACAAAACAGATAGGTGAACGGTTTATCCTGAGCCGTCTCAGAACGGCTGATGGATTTTTATAAGGAGCTTTTATTCCATGGCAGAGCTAAACATTCTCTGCCGTAAGGCGATCGCATTATTAATTTTAATTTTCCATAATTTTGGATGTTGGTTGAACCAGGACTCTAACCCTGCTCTTCAGAAAGGCAGTACGCTATACAAACCTGGAAAATAACAAATATTTGCACACCATCTCTCTTTAATTTTAGAAAAGACTTCGACAACATGAAAAGGAGCTACATCTACGCCGTTAGGTCTGAAAAACTTATACGGATATGCAAACGTAGCAAGAAAATAATGCGACCTGTTCAGCTGGTAGTGATACCAACAAAAATTACAGCCTAGAAATCCAACAAAAAATATATTTTGCCAACAGATGCTATTTTGGACTAAGAGGACAATTGAAAAGTAAAGTCGCTTCCCGTAGAACAAAGACCGAATTCTACAAGTTGCTCATCATTTTTGTCCAGTAAATATGTTTATACATACATACGAATATGTAGCCTTCATATTCTGGCGTTTGCTTCGTTGTAGCGGCTCATAGTCTATTTTGTGACGGAAATTACAACAGAAATAGCTGGGCAATTGCTACATTAGCGGATGCATTTCTACAAAAAACAACCGTTGACGGGAGTAGGAGGAATCAATGCGCATCTGGAAGTAGATTCAGCACACTTTTTATAAAAAAAAGAAAATTACTGGCTATCGGGTGAAGGAGAGTGTTGAGTATAGTCAATTCAGCTCTAGGCTACTATCGAAAAATTAGCAGAGCCCACTGGTGTTATCCGATGCACGGAAGATATCTTAGGCTGCGTAGCCGTCAATTTCAACTGCTCGTAGAACCGGGATGGAAAAACGCAAGGATTAGAAATTTCAATTTAAAAAAATAAATACCATTGCAAACAATAAGCAATTCATTCCGCCGCTTCCCTTACCACCTGAGAGTGGCTTTTTGCATCTGTGCATGCATTTATAAACATTCATACATAAAAATACATTTTTTGCATGAATATACGAGTGGATTAAGCTGGTGTTTTTATCTGTGATTTCATGGATTTCTTAAGAAAAATTGTAAATATCTTGACGTGACACAATGCAAAATGACATAGTTCCGAAAATTAAGAGACAATGATCAGGCTGCCCAAATCATGTTCTCCGTAAGGATGAACTATAATCTTCTATTCGATGCACCCGCCGGTGGATTAGTACCTGGCTGCACTTCGTATTTCTGAGCTAATTCGACCACCACAAATTTAGCAATAAGGCCTACTTAAGTTCAAATGGAGCTAACAGCCGTGTACGGCTCAAACTTATATTAAATACTTATATTAAATACGTTTAGAATTTTCACTACCGAACCCGCAGTGCGTTTAACTCTTAATATTGAAAATATAACCAGATTAAATTTAACTGACGAGGTGAATATATCAATTTTAACATAATGCGGCCGCAACAGCCGTATGACTGTCCTTCGTTGGACCAAGCTTGCTGTCACCAACATTCAAAATTATAGAGAAGGTATATTGCCCATTGTAATGTGATATTGACCAAATTTTCCGGTAATGTCTGGATTCCGCGTCAATGAAACTGCTCGCTCTTGGAAGACAATTTCTGATACCTCTAACTAAAGTGAAATGTGGTATCATAAGGTCTGGGCTATAAGGCAGGTATTTTAGTCCTTCCTATCTATTTTCATTGTTGCCAAATCCTGTTACTTTTTTAGGGAGATTAAGCATGGACCTTCATTCGAAACTGTGTCTAATTTGGGGTCTACATTTGTTTATGGCCTTTCTTAACGTTCTATACAGCTTCGAAGCCACAAAGGCTATAACATTAGGGTAAAAGTTTACTTTATTCCGATAGCGTTGAAGGTATTTATACAGTCAATACAAATAATGAGTGCAGCCACTGCTTAACCGAGTGGTAAATATTGCATACTGCCTTTCGAAAGGTCAGGGTTCAAATCCTGGTACGACGGCGATTTATAGAAAAATAATTTAAATAAAAAATTGAGGGAAAATTTCTAATTGCGGTCGCCCCTCCGCTGGGAATGTCAACCCCTTCGAATGTATTCCTGACATGAAATAGAGCTCCTCATAAACAACCATCGACTGTTTGTCGGAAAAGATATCAAGACGCTTACCACGAATTGGAGGAGGAGCTCGGCCGAAAATCTCTTCAGCGGTTACAAAACACCTATTATACGAGTATATACAAAATATATCATCCGAATTTTTAACAGTAATAAATAACATTGGTAGTCTTGAAATTTCGCGGAATACACAGGGTCATCTATTTTGCGGTTTCACAAATAAGCATAAACAAATTTTTATCCATAAATTTCTTTTTTATTATAAAGTCTTAACTTTGGCATTATATAAGATTATTATATAAGATTGTAGAAGAAATCGAAACGCCCGTTCTGCCTTCCCAAATTGAAAAAGTAAGCAAAGAAAATGGATTTGACATAGAACGAGAACCACACGAAAATACTAATGGTTGTGTATGTAATTTGAACCATCCTTTCTTTCACTTGAACATCGGGACTAATCAATCATTAATCTAATAAATGGGACACGGAAAGTTGGACGACTAAATAATTCTTCCAAAAAAGTATTAAACATTAAACTATATTTTTTAAACATGAACATCTTTTAGAGCTTTCTACATATGTATATGAGTACAAGTATTACTTACTTTACTGGCGTGGACACCGTTTTCGCGATTATAGCCGAATTTACAACATCGGGCCATTCATTTCTATTTTTTCGCTGTTTGGCGCCAGTTGGAGGTACCAGGCCAGATCCAGGCCAGATCCTTCTCTACCTGATCTATTCATTTTAGTGAATGTCTTCCTCTTCCTCTGTTTCCACCGGAGAGTATTGCAACGAAAACTATAAAAAACTGGAGTATTTTTCTCCACCCGGACCATATGACCTAGTCAGCGTAGACGCTGTTTCCTTATTATCTAAACTATCTCAATATCGCCGTATAACTCGTATAGCTCATCATTCCATCGGCTGCGGTATTCGCCGCTACCAACTCCTGGGGGACCGTAAATCTTACGGAAAAACTTTCTCTTGAAAATTCTTAACGCCGACTCATCAGATGTTGTCTTCGTCCATGCCTCCGCACCGTATAGCAGGACGGGAACGATGAGGGACTTGAGTTTGGTTTTCGTTCACCGAGAGAGGACTTTACTTTTCAATTGCCTACTCAGTGCGAAGTAGCACCTGTTGAATTTCCAGGCTGACATTATTGTTGGCTGGTTCCTAGATAGGCGAAGTTATCTACGACTTCAAAGTTATGACTGGCAACAATGACGTGCCGAGTCGCGAGTACGATGACTGTTTGTGTGATGACAGAAGATATTTCGTCTTGTCCTCGTTTACTACCAGACCCATATCCTTCGCTTCCATATCCAGTCTCGAGAAAGTAGAACTAACTTGTTGAGGCCAATAACGTCAATATCATCGAACGCCAACAGCTGCACACTCTTATAGAAGCACAAATATTGATCTGTCATATTTCGATATGCTAACTAAAAAAATTGTTTATTTTGATTTTAAATTTTTTTTTTAAATTAATACTTTATTTACGATAATTTTTCACACTGTTATGCATTTACTTTTGTGTTATATTTCTATAGACAAGCTGTAATATTATTTTGTATTTCTTTCTTTAAACGAGATCCATATTCCTTCCTGCGGAGCTGTTAGGAAAGTAGTTGTTGAAATCTTGAATGGTTTGGAATTCTCGCTAATGGAAACTGAATACTTCGATAATAATGTTATTATGCCAGCTTTACTTTGAGCCAAACCGAAACGCATGCCTGAGTTTGTAAATATTTCACAATATAAAAAATTAGACAAATCCATTAATTTTCGCTTTTACCTGGACACATACGTGGACCCTCTCCAAATCCTAAAAATAAACCGTTACGAGAACTATCACTTTGGTCCAAAAACCGCTCTGGTTGGAATAGTAATGGATTCTCATATAATTCGCCATCGCTGTAGGAAAGGAAAGATTAGTAGCTTAGACATTATAAAAGATAAAAGAAATTATATTAAAACAAACAATTTAAAAATAAAAACTAACAATATTTTCTCGTTATCGCTAACGACTTAAAAATATTCGTCGCTTAGTTAGCGATTTGTCGAGTAGTTTACGACAACAGCGATAGCGAATATCGTCAAAATAAGTGCACGGAATATTTAAATCGTAAGAAATATCATTAAGTCTTAAGTTAGAGAATAGCGAATATCGTTAAAATTATGGCTAAGTCGTTTTAACGATCCGAGAATCGTTATAATACGATAGAGAATTCCCATACTGGAGGGACATAACACAGTAGGGAAAAGGAGGCTGCCTACTTCGCAACGTTGAGATCGAACACTACAAGCAGGGGATAAGGTAGATACCGAGAGTTTAAGAGGGTAGCAAGATGCAGGTGGAGAAATGAATGAAGTCGATAGGCGTAAGAATGTATAACTTGAGAAGTTGGCCGACAAGGCCCGGAAAATTACAAAAGTGATAAGATCCATACATCAGCTTCTTTACAAATATGGTCGACCACAAAAAAGATATACGGCGACATTGGCATGGTTAAGCGAATCAAGAGACTGTGGGTATGCCGACTACATGATGTCGTCTGTATGGATAACAATACTCCAGCTTTGAAAGTTTTCGACAATGCAGTACCCGCCGGTGAAGCAGAAGAAAAGGAAGACCTCCGGTTCTGCATCTACTCTATAAAGAAGACGGAGCCTAGGTTTTTTATTGCTGCCTGTCTACAACTAAGGATAATGAGGTATTCAGTTCTAATGTCTTTTAAACTTCTATGATAACAATTGTCGAGCAGCCTGTATACAAAGGATTAGACTCACTCTACCATCAAGCTTTGGAGCCAAATGTGTATATCTCAATGCTTCCTGCCAAGATGACAATGTGTGGGTGGTGTGGGTTTTAAAGCTCTCTAATAATCATAATTTTCTTTCACATGTCCGAGGCACGGACATACGTGTGGCCAGAAAGGTTTGATGTCGGTGCTAAAATAGTCTGACGCTGTTGCATATTAGCTGCCTCATCCAAAGTTTTAAGTCATTTTCATAAAATTTCCATAAACATACGCAAATACTGTAATATTTATATTTATGTAAATATTTAAGATATACTCACTAGTGCACAGCTTTGACTGGTATAACAAATACCATACCCTCGGGCACAATAAATGATTTTCCTCCTGGCGACTGCGCCGGAAGCTCAAATTCCTTGGTACAATGTTTCAGTAATGCCATCATGGGTGGGTATAGACGTAGCGTTTCTGTAAATGGAAATTTACAAAAAATTGGTAATTTTAAGTTCTAACAGTTTCAACTTCAATCACATTTAATTACCGTATAAAGTAGCTCCCAAATAAGGCATTTCCTGAATAGCTTCATAGGAAATTTCGCCACTGTAACGAGCTAAGACATCATCAATTTCATTCTGAAGACGTTCTTGCACCGATGGATGTTTGGCATACTAAAAAAAAATTATATTTTGAATAAAGTATCAACTTATTATCAATAAACAATACGAAATCGAGCTTATTTTTTTTAATTTTCTTTTATTTTACTGTTATCTTATATGTATGTATAAGTCCCCTTTAACAAAAGATTAAAGAAAACATAATTTTTTATCGAAATTTATATTTAAGTTTGATAACCTTAATTTCTCATTTTTTTTTTTTTTGCTATCAGCTTTTTTCAAGGCCGTTAAAATCTATGTAGGTTAACCGCAACATGTTACTTAACTTCTGGTTATGGTTAGTTTAATCAGTGTGAATATTTTAGGGTAAGTTCACAAAATTTTTCCGTTGTATTTTTTAAATTATTCTAATATAATGGAAAATAAAAACAGTAGTAGTCTTCCAAATTTTTCAAGCACTGAAGAAATTATTTTAATAACATTGGCGGGGGGCGACGCAGTGGTCTGGGAGGATAAACGAATAACATGGGAAAACATTGATGTTGAAGTGGGAATTCGGAGGGCTCAAAAATGTAAGAGAAAAATATGAAAATGTGACGATGAAGTATAAAAATTCTTTAAACAGCGGCAAGATGTCAATCCTGAAAGGCTAGCTGCTTTAAGGGGGGAACCTGGTTTAGAACGCTGAAAATTGCATGATATTCAGCACAGTGTTTGAGGTTGCCTTACGTGCGAAATGTTTCAAGTATTTTTGAAAATTTACTTTCACTTTATTTGATACCGTTAAGCAATAACAATTCGTATTTGTTTGTGGCACTTCTCGCTCGAAGAGTCTATTTTGTGAACGCGATAGCGTTCGTAGTTGTTATCTGAAACATAAAAACGAATACTTTTTTTTATAGCTTAGGAGTTGCTCCTCCATGTGAATCTAAGATATTCGAAGAAGTGTATAAAATTATTTATTTTAGACTGTTTATAAAAAATTTTGCGTTTTTCTGAACAAATTTTAAGATAACTTAATAAAAAAAAGTTAATAAAATTTTTTTTTAATATTAATTCACATTGAAGTCTACACTATTAGCTGTTAAAAAAGGTATCAGTTATGAAAATGAGACAATTACAACTTTTTTAATCGTGTGCACAAAACAGAAAAACATTGTTTTGAGAAAATCGCGTTCAAAGTTCTAGCGCTCGCTTATCAGTCTCCTGAACGCATTGTCTCTCAGAGGCGCTGAAATATTTCTGAATATATTTCTAATCGAATGAGATAAGTTTCAAAAAATCGTTTTTTTTTTGACCCTCTAAACCAGGTTTCTCCCTTAATGGGAAGAATATGGTTTTGACAGCGACGGTAAGATATTTCGTATGAAATTCTATGCAGTGGGATTTTTAGCAGCTCATAGGAGTATATTATTTCAGCCATCAATGTACTATCCATATGAAGAATCAATACCCAACCGTACCAGTGTTTGGATGATTCAATGCCGAGTCAAACAGCGGAGGAGTGTCTGGAGGCTGTAATTTAATATAATATTATATTTACATTCATTTTAAATAATCTCTATTAAACAGATTACTACGCTTGATTGGAGTCCAAATAGATCGCGGATGAGAAAAGATGAAAACGTAATGGATAGAGGTGCAAGGAAATCGAAGAAAGGCAGTTCTGATTCCAACAAATTGGTTTGGGAGGAAGAAAACAAAAGAGCGAAAGAATTAAAAATTAATTTGGAACTTTTACTAATAGAAATTCCTGTTTAAGTTCCTGTTAAAGTTTTGAGGATCTCATTAATTTTACATGAATTTCTTTTTCTTTTGCTTAAAAAATAAAAATAAAATCTTTCTTTAATGAAATCCTTTAATACATATTTATTGTTTATGTAAATGAACTTATAATTATTATAAAAATAAACCAACCTTACAAAATAATCTCTAATTAGACTAGATCTTACAATAGCGTTTCTGTACATCTCAGCTCTTCTTTCGATGTTTCCATACTCCAAAGCACCTCTCTACGCAATTGCGAGTGCGAACTTGAAATTCATTATAACGCCGTTCAGCGCGAAGATTGGGATGTAAAAGCGGAGTCATCATGTGGCTGTTGACTTCATAACCACTGTCACCCAGCAAAAATCAGTCCTTAAATTCATTTTGTTCAGACGGTTATTATTAAAAATATTGCTGTCATGTGCAGCACCAGGAAACCTGCATACAACGTCCGTAATTTCCAATTTAGCATTAGAGACAGCTTATACCTTGAAGGAAAAGTACCCTTTTCTGTTTCGAAAAATTTCGACATTTTCTCCTCCAGGTGATTGGATTCTGACATGAGTGCAATCTATACTCCCCGCCACCTTTAGAAATTTCCCTATTCGGTGAAATGTATTCTCGATTCTCTGCTTGTTTGTGGCATTCTGATGAATGATTGAGAAAGTGCCGCTATAGCAATAGATACTATATTCGCCACGCGACTTGCAGTCCCCACGTTTACTCCGCAGAAATCAGCAACGCAGATCAAAAAACTTCCCGATGCATAAAAGGGCATTGTTAAAAGCAACATTTCCGCTGTTTGATTCCTGCAAAATCAAATAAATTATCAACAATATTTATTTACTACAAGTTTATTATATTCACAAACCTTTCAGGTCGTCTTCTAAATTTATTTTCTAATTTTTCTAAAACATATTTTGCACTAATTTTGGAAAGACGAAATACGAATAAAATCTTTTTCATCAAATTTCTCAAAAAAACTTTTTTGTGGTCGACACATTATTTCCCTATAAATATGCCTCTAAATCAAGGCAGCCAAATAGGCAGTGCGTTCCATATTTACCATAATTAAATTTATTTTAAAGCCAATTATTATATTAATTATTTTACTATTTGCAGGTGTCAAATTATCCTCTGGTGAAAGCTAATCGCCACTAAATGTTGACGTTAAGTTAAACGCAACTTCATTTGACAGATGCGCCTCAGCCGGACATTGTGAAAACCTTCCGATTAAGTTATGATTAAGTGCTTAACCGAAGATAGTGAAAACGGCCCTTAGTGGTGTTTGTCAGAAAATTTCTTGGTATTCGCAAAAGAGAGTCAATACTGAGTTTTAAGTGGTAAGACTGCCGCCGCCTTACTAATTCTTACATTTTGAAATTTACCTTGCAATAGATTAAAACAACAGTGCACAAGTATTCGTAAACTCAATGTATCGAAGAATTATCAACTAATTGACATGAAATTGTCAGATTGTTTCAATAGTTTCTGGAAAGGTTTATACGAAAGATTCTGGAACTGCTTAAAGTCAGCTTACAGTCTTAGTGCTGTCGAAAGGTGATTAAAAATCGGCGAAACTGTGATACGTGTCGATCCCCTTTTCAGGGGTCTGTTTTATGATTGGACCCGTTGTAAATATCTGGTCAATGGTTGATTTTCCAGGTCTAAGGCCACACTGACAAGATCCAATCAGTTTGTTAAGACTGGGTTTTAGTCTTTAAGGATGCTTATCAGACGGTAATCAGCGCAGATTGAGCAGATTACAGTTTAAATTTTTCCAGCATTACCGTTTCTTTCTGTTTCTCAAGGTTCTCATACTCCCGCATTTTAGCCTCCTTCTTTTTTGTCTACGTAGGTGCCTTGCTTCCGTTTGGAGGTAGGCAGCCTGCTTTCTGCGCACTGCGGAACGGCCGTCCTTATCGTAACCTTATCACTGAATAATTAGATTTATCCAATTAAAGAAATTTTCTTAAAAATACTTAAGATAGAATAATTTAATTTGATTTCATGTTAGATAATTTAAGCATTAAATCGATATGGTGTTGGAACTTTTTGTTACTGTCGTATTTATAGGCAGAGAACTAGAAGTTCTTGCTGCTTAGAGTTGCTAAATTAATTACGCGAAATCATTTACGTATGAGTACATACATGAACTCTCATTGAATATCAATATAAAATATATGTATAAGAATTGGTAGCGAGTTACCACCTCATTCAGCACCCCATTTCTTGTGAAATGTTTAGTATTTGCTAATGATGTGTACCATACCTCGTATAGTGCAAAAGCCATTAATGAAGACGATGTCTCGAATCCTTCCAGCAAAAATGTACCACAATGGCCTACCATTGTTGGTACATCAATCGGTTCATGCGATTTCTGTCTACCGTCAATGAGCCATTGCAAGAAATCGTTCGGTTTTGATGGCAACTCCTTTAAAGTCCCTGGTGAACGGCGGCTTTCTAAAACTTTTTCAATTATGCCACGAAGCCAGTGTTGCACTTGTGGTGGTGCATAGCTATAATTCCTTGTAATATATTATTTTAAATCAGAACCAGCCAACTCTTTCCATCCACTTACCAATATTTTATGATATTTCCGAGCAATGGGGAAAAAAGCAATGCAATGGTTTCGAGTAAGCTCCAATTATTCGGCATAAAGAGATGTTCCACAAGTTGGGTAAAATCCGACTTGGTGTTTGTGAAAGAAGCGCCATCAAGACCATAACCTGCTGAAGCAACCACATCAAGTGTATACTTGGAGAATAGCTGTTGGCAATTGGCAGTTTTGAATATTATCATATATGAATGCATCTGTAGATTTATTAAACAAACTTACATCTTTGCATTCAAAAGAGTTTTCTGAATTTTTTACTTTTTGAGATACAAATGCCTCAAGCTTTCTGCATATAGAGTTTATATGGGGGAACGACGCCCTGACCTGTAAGAAGAGACCGTATTAATAAAATCTTTTACAAGACAACAGAGGTAAGCAAAAGTTATATACTATTATGAGGGTTTCGCATTTATATAGAGCATAGCTAAAGAAGGCAAGAATTTAGTAAGAAAAATCATATAAGATTTTTTAAGTTCTTATAAATGAGCCGCTCAACGCACACATCGATTAACTCCACTTATTGAAAAACTTTAAATTTAAGTGTCAGAGCACTGGTATAGTCATAACTTTTTATATTTATAATAACTTTTCTGAATAATGAAGATTAGCACCATAAGCTGTTACATTACTCACTATTTTTTATTGGCTATTCTTTCTTATTAATTTTATATACCGTTAGATGAAAGCTATATCTTCAATTACACATTCTACATTATATATTTGAATTCATAATATCAGAGGAATTTTTAAAAACATTATACGTTAATTACATCATCGCGTTTCTCAACTTTTCGTTTTATAGAGTTAATTGATGTGTGCGCTGAGCGGCTCAAATGATAGTCGATCAGTAATTTGCATGGCTGAAGACAGGCCTAACGAGAGGGAGGGGATCGGGGACTTTTCCCCCCGGGCCCGTAGATTGCAAGGGGGCCCGGTGTTTTCATTGTCGTCTAAAAAAATTCAGTAATTTTGTTACTTCACATATGATGTATGTGACGCATGTTCTTATCTTACAGTCATTGCAGTAAGATTTAGTTTTGTATGAGAAAGATCAATTTTTCAGGCTATAATCTGTGAAAAGTCTTACATAGAGCTTTAACTTGTGGAAAAAATGAAGTTAATTATCTATCTAAAATTAGCTAGAAAACTTGACTTCGGAATTTTCATTGAGGAATTTGCATCAGCTAAAGCAAGGAAGGCATATTTTTGAGGGTTGCTACCTATTAAAATACTATTGTAATGCAAACTAAGGTAATAAAATTGTTTAAAAAAAAATTGTTCCAGATTACTCATTCATTTTCATTTTTATTCAAGTTCTATTCTATCTTAATCCCCAACTCGTTCCTTCCAACGAAGTTTATTTCTTCTTCTTCCTATACTTCCACTAACGAATACTTTCACAGCTTAATTGATTTCGTCCATCCGAAGGCAGCCAAAAACCCAAAATCTTACTTTAAATTATTTGTACAAGGTCGTTTGGAAAACTATTTCTAATTTCTTTACAAATTTAAATAGAATTTGATTGCTGCCACTTAAGCATTAAGAAGAAAGTTAATAGTATCATTGAAGTCAGCTCACTTAGGTCACCAAATGTGCCTATTGTAATACCACTGAGGATCCTAATGACCCATCGCTAATCAAAAAAAAATGTGTGGAGTCCGCAAAACTGAGCAGCCGCCCCTATCTCGTTCCAATCACCAAAGGTTTTCCGCCCCTGTAGTTTTCAACCTCTCCAAAGTAAGGTTTCAGGTTTCTTTTTTGGAAATTTTTATTGTTATCAAAAATTACAAATTAAAATTATCTTAACTGTCTATTCTATAAACCTTTCCTATAGTGAGATAAAATAATAAAAAGGACAAACTAGCATGAAATCCGACGGATCTCATCATTTGGTCGGTGGCAATGGTTAACATGTATTATATATTATATAATAAATAGTTTAATGATATCCGAAACTACTGTTAGTCTCTCAAGTGAAAGATTGAGTAAAAGAATTTGGATAAAAATATGCACATTTGTAAAGTTTGCTTTGAATTTGTCGCTTAGATTTTCTAGAAAGATGCATGAAAGAGCAAAATAAGGTAAATTCTTTATTATTTATTAATTTACATATTATTTAAAATGGTTCAAGGAATCGGATGTTATATAATTTTTTTTATTTTTAGTGGGTCTGCTACCCGATAACCGGAAATCAAGATTTCTAACAAATCTTCTGAATCATGAGAAAATGCAAATATTAAATTTCCAACAAATTCAGGTAACTTTCTTATTGGACGTACAAAATACTATACTTCTCAATGTTCTGGACATGTTCAATACAGAAGAACAATTTTTTTTTGAAAAACTTATTAAAAATGAATGCAGAATTTCTTTTGCCTTCTGGTGAAGCTTACCGATTAGTCGATTGTATCCTATTTTATTTAAACAGGGAATGGATGGAGAACATTATTTATATCGTCTTTCCAATTATCTAATGGCAGAACATGTTTGCAGGCCAAATGTAAATCTAAGAAATAGCTTTTTACACTTTTGCTGATTGTCTCTAATTCTCTAGTTTCATTTGCGAAAGTTGTTGATGATTGAACTTTTAGATTTACAGAGATGTCTGCGGCGTATATCATTTATAATATAGGCCCTTTATATCAAACTTTGTTGAACGCTTGTGCTACTACTATAAAGAAATATTTTCCAGCAAGACTTTTGAACTGGAATCACTTCCTAATCTCATTAGTAGTTCTACTGACTTATTCTGCATTACCATGTTTTTCACTTTGTTACGATGGAGAAAATTGGATATCTTTGATAGAAAAATTCTTTCGAATAATTTGAAGATACAAGGTGGCGTATAATTTGAGACCTGTGTGCGGTTTTTAACTGGTTTGGCTATCATTATTATTTGCGAATACTTCCACGCGTTTGGAAAGTAACTTGGTTTCAAAATGACATAAAAAAGTTCGGGGAACAGTCTCAACGCAGCTGTAGGTGCCTCTTTTATCATTTTTGGTGTAATGAGGTCACAGACTTTTTGGCAACATAAAATCATTAGAAGCATCCTTTGACTGGAACACCTTGCGTTTTCTTCACGTTCAGTTACCATTTGTGCCTAATTGGCGTACTCACATTAACTGGAGGCTTACGGGTTTTCTGTGCCTTCCAGAGTGAATATTTTTGGTAAAATTTGTCGTCAACTTTTTTATATATGATTTGATATTATGGTATTCCGTTTCCTTCAGTGGGTCTTTCAGTTTACTCTCTTCTGTTATTCTGTCATTCTCTCCGTAAGCGACGCTCTTTTATTCCTTATTTTCACTGCTTGTTTAATTTTTGTTCTCGTAATAATACTTTTTATCTTTCGTTTCTTAAGAGAGGCAGAAATAGCTGATACAAGCAAGTTGGTCGATTTTTGTTGAAACAAAGAATTAATGAATTATTTTCGGTATTTTCTTCCAAACGGTATGTCGATATGTTGGCTGATGTGCAGAGAGTTACAGTCTAAATTGTTGCTTGTTTTTAAATAGTTTTTTAATGTTGACGATCTCGCGTTTATTAGTCGCGTTTCCCATAGATGTGCTTTGCATTGTACTCTCCTCCGGCTATAAATCTATCCACTAGGCTATCAAATCTCATATTACTTTTAGTCCGGGAGGGCAATAAATTTATTCAAAGCTACATAATTATATATAATTGGGGCTTTGTAACCGCTGGAGCGATTTTCTGTCGAGTCAGTTTTGGCATAGTCGCCATGAATTGTCACACTTTGGCACTTGGTAAAATTTAATATTATTGATAGAATATATCTATTAGATTGGTTTTGCGGAACCCGACCTGTTCTTCATTGCATTCACATATAACAACTAATTTTAGTTTATTAATGGCAGATTTGTAATAGTTTTGTACGTAGTTTCTGATGATATAACTAAAGTTAAGAAAAATATTTAACACAATCCAAAGCTATTCTACGATTTTGTTAACTCCAAACGTAAGCTTTCTACCTTTCCGTCCACCATTAAATAGAAATCTAATATGTCATGTGACAGTCTAAGTATGTTCGAGCAATTTTTTAAATAAAATTATTCAACCAACTTTCGAAGGGGCTGTCCGTCTGTCAGCATTACTTACGTTCAACAACAGTTATTAGTTCGCCAACTATTTCTGAGAAAAAAGTACAATATTATATCATTTAATGAATCTTAAACATTCTATCAGTTATGACATGATTCCTACATGCTTTCTGAAAAATTTGTATATTCCTTTAACTCAAGCAAGGTATGATCCCTACAATATGGAAGCAGTCTTTTATAGTACCCTTACACAAGAGTAGTTGTAGGTCTAATATTGAGAATTATAGAGATATTTTAAAAATATTCGGTTTACCAAAGCCATCACTATTACTAAGATAACATTTTCGATCTCTTCAATACTATCCAATTTCCAACACGGGTTTTGTAAAGGTAAATAAACACATACAAATCTACTTGAATTTGTGTCGCATATCTCAAAGCCTTTAGAGATAATAAGCAAACTGACTTCAGTAAAGCATACGGCAGGGTTAATCACACTATTCTGAACCATAAACTAGATCGTCTGGGCTTTCAACCAAAATTTCTTCATTTTGAATTTCTTGGTATCTCTACAATAGAACACAACGGGTAACATTTAAAGACACTTCATCACAATCAATTAATGTCTCATCAGCAGTTACTCAAGGTAGCCAAATCGGTCTGATTCTGCTTCTATTATTCATAAGTCATATATCTTCGGTAATAAAGCATTCAAATATCTCGTTATAGACCGATTATTAAAACAGTTTTGATGTCATATACCTCATGCGACGAAAGACGCCTGTTACACTACGATCTAGCCAATTTAGCTTCCTTGTTTGATAACAACGACACGCCTTTGAACCTTAGGAAGTGTAGGACCATGTGCTGTCACGAAGACTTGTTTAACCTTCTCCTTATATCATTAATAACTGTAGCCTAGAGCAAGTCATCAACTTTGTTTATTTGGGGGTTATGATGGATCCTAAGCTCAACCTTCATCTTCATGTGGAAACCTCTATCTTAAAAGCTAGAAATGCTTTTGCCTTTGTCAAAAGATGGTCAAAAGAATTTAAAGACCCTTTTGTAACTGCAGCACTTTACACGACTTTACTGAGGCCAATATTAGAATATGATTCACTGATATGGAACCCCAATCATCAGATTCATTCCGATAAGTTGGAGTCTGTTCAAAAACAATTTTTACTTTTTGCATTAAGATATTTCCGATGGCACTCTACATAAATCTTTCTCTTTATACCAACCGTTTAAAGCTTCTAAATCTACCTACTCTCGCAAGTTGTAGAGAAATTTTAGGCACCCTGTTCGTAGTGAAACTTCTTAACGGATCAATTTGTAGTTCATGGCTCTTATCTGATCTTATTATCACTTTTTCAGTAGCTGAACAGTTTTAAATCTCGACGCTTAACCAAACGCTTCCCAATCATGACTTGCATATTCCGTGCGTTATGCGGATGTCGCCTCTGGTGTCGGTTGGGTGGGTGGAGGGTATTCGTTGGGCTTATTAACATCTAAATTGTAGAAACTAGTCGAAAGGAAATTTTTTTGACAGCAAAATGTCGGGAAAATTGCTACGTTAGAGATCACCTTTACCTTTCATCAAAGGATAGACGTTTGTGCCAATAATTTTGGTAAGGTTATTTTCCAGCACACTGGAGATACGTGCAAATAAGCCACTATTTTATGGTTCTTTACTTTTAGGATTAGATGATCTTAGTGGCCTTAAGGTTACTATATATTATTGAGCTACACTTCCACTTAATATTAATATAGCAATCAAGCCTGTCTGCACTACCGAGGACTTTTTTCTGCTTTTTTCTTTCTTCGCTGAGCTATTGGGTTGTTGCCATCGGTTTAGCGTTCTCTGTTGGCGCTACAAAACTGAGTAAACATTTTAGAGCCTTCACGCTGGTAGCTTTAGCCGCGCTGTACTCATTTTAATGTTGCCCACTATGCAAATCTTCATTTATTTTGTTTGTACTTTTATTATGTCTTATATATTCACTTTTTTTTAATTTTTTTAGGGTTCCACTTAAGGTGTACTTTTATGGTGTTTTGTAAAAGTCACAATAGGCACTCGCCTAATTTATTTGGCCTTTCACTGAATATTTTAATTTAATTTAATTTTTTTATAATCACATGTACATATGCACTTCTTTCACTTACCTTATTCGGAGTAAAAATAGGAAGAATTTCGGCACGCATATTTTTCCATTGATCACCTTTAGCCACAAATGGATTGAAGCTAACAATGGGATCCCGTTTCCTGCTAACCCATAAAACATTATCTTGAAAATGATGAAAAGAGCGTATCATAATCTCTTTAATCATCTCTTGGCTGCGCACCAAAACCGCCGGCTCATTAAAAAGACGATAAATGCCCACATAGGGAAGGTGTGGATGTGCTCTTTGATAGCGATATATCAGTTAAAATTTTAAATAAATGCATACATACATAAATATACGTATAAGCAGAACACCATAATTGAGAAAAAATTTGCGAATTCGCGACACTTACTCGTAAATATTTTGATAGACATCACCATAATGTTTTTGGCCGAGAAAAAACTCACTCATATTGCCTAAAATCGGTACACCACGTGGTCCACGTATGCCATGTCTATGCCAAAAACTCCATTTCCAGCTCAAATGAACACCAAGAAGCAAAGCAAATGTTATAAAAAGTACAAACACCATTTGAATGGTTTAACAAATTTAGTGGGGCTGAACTCAATAGAAATATGATGACACTTTGGGGAAAAAAATGATACGAGAAGTTGAGCCGCTAGCAAGTAACTGAATTTAAATTTCAAATTAAAATAATAAATACAAATCATAATTTAATAGGTACTACACTTAAGTGGCATATTTAACATAGATAACCCTAATATACTATAGGGTACACCGAAAGCATGACGCTAGAAGCGTGCATCAAATACAAAGTTTCAATTTTGACACACAATTAGCGTTATTAAGTTAAACAGTGTGGCGTTTAATCTTATGAATTGCGAAATTAAAAAAAGGCAATTTACAGCGTGCACATGCAAATATTATAAATATACATACATATATATGTTTGTATGTATATACATTAAAAATATACAATTGAAACTTTGTAGCCGCTGAAACGATTATCGGCCAAGCTCCTCCGTGAAATTAGGGTAAGAGTCTTGAGGTTTTTTAAACAAATGGAAGGGGCCTAAAGTTTATACCAAACCGACTCCAAACGACTGATGGAATTTTGTGAGGAGATTTTAATTGGCGTCAGAGATTCACTCCGAGGGTTCAACATTCCCTGCCGAGGAGCGACTGAGGTTGGAAAAATGAACTCAATTTCTTATTTAAATTACTTTCTATCATTTTTGGACATTGACCGGACCAGGACTCGAACCTTGGCCTTCCGAAAAGCAGTACCCTTACGGTATCGCTATATTTGGTATACACGAATATATATATTATATATATACACGAAAATAAAGGTAAATACAAAAGTGTGTTTTCGTATGTCTATTTATATTAAGTAATTAAGAAATTTATTTGTTTGTTTTTTTTTTTTTACAAACTTAACTTAATCTATGTCTTCTTTTTATTACAGTGGCTTTTCGCTTCATTAGGCTTGCGCTTTGATAAAGAGAAAGCTGTTGTCATAGAGAAATTGATTTTATTTTCTCCTATTACCGCGTCATTGCTTGCGCTGATAAGAATTGTGGTGTTGAAGAGACGACTGCTCAGCAAGTCTTCCATCCTCACAAGTGCAATTGCTGCATGGATTAAAGTGTACAAAATTGTCCGCGATATTTCAACAAATTGGCGGCCGCAACAGTCAAGTCGTTAGAATTGCGCACTGTCATTCGGAAAGCCAGAGTTCCTGATTCGATCAAAATTAATTTTTCTAATTGCGGTCATCCCTCGACAGAGAATATCAAGCATAAAACAAAAGCGCCTGATAAAAATTCATTAACTTTTCAGAGGCGCCTTAGAACCAACCGTAGGTCTTTCCATTTGTTGAAAAACTTCAAGCGTCAATTATTATATTTCAACAGTTTAACCAACGACGATCTGCCTTTGAGCGTATTTCAAGCGAGAACAATGCGAGACACGATTGGATGGAGTAAGCTTGAGCATATTTAACTATTTTTCCAATCTTTAAAGTCCATTGCATATAATATTTATTTTAATTGAAGGCAAAAAGTGTGCGTTGAAAATAAGTTATTCTGGGAACATCGAACGGCTTTTATTGGTAATTGTCTTAAGTGGGTATGTGCAAGTAGTAAGAAGCAAGCTTAACTGGGAAAAGGGAAAGGACACATAGCTCAATTTAGGCGGGCTAACGCCTAATGCCAGCTAATGCGAGAAAAAAATAAATATCGCCATCTATTGGAAAAATAATGGATTTATTTTTACTACACCAATATATGTAGGCTTTATGCGGTCATTTGGGCTGCATATGTACTTGATCACTATTCGTAAATTACATCAATCACCTGCACGAATTTACAAATACCTTCACCTTTACGTAACTGCCGTTACTATTGATCATAATTCATTTCATTGTAATTTCAAATAACTCTGATTCAATGCTTTCTGGACCGGTCTGGCGATTATAGTGGTGCTCTAGCTGTTGAATTCTGATTTACATTAGCGCCGTATTTAGTATTTCGATAGGAAAAAGTAAAAGGAATATGCATATTAGGGTGTCCACCCCCTGTTTTAATGTTGTATCTTTTATATATGTTTTGTAACCAGATAGATGAAAGAGACTATTTTGTCTCGGCTACGATAGCTTCATTCAGGAATGAGTTCTTCCAGATGAAATGTACTAAAATATTACAGTATTAGCGGTTAAAAAATGAGTATTAAGAGAAACGCATAAGCTTAGTATTATATATAAGAGAGAACATAGTGGGAGGGAACTTCAAGCCCCCTGCGCATAGCTGCAAACGAAATTATTTGCTTTCGAAACGGTCGTAAAAACAACTGGTACGATGAAGAAGTTTAAATAGGAATTTTACTTCTTCCCTACTGGCGTTGGCACCGCAGCTTCACCGCTCACGCAATTATTGCTAAATCAATATTAGCGCACTATTCACATCTTCTGTTCGCTCTTTGCGGCCAGCAGGAAAATACCAAGTGAAACCAGGTAACTTTCTAATTTTCTAAGCTGGAGTATTCTTATCCATCCGGGCCACATGACCTAACCAGCGTAGCCGCTGCTTCTAGATTTGCTTTACTATGTCAATGTCGCTGTATAACGCGTACAGCTCATCGTTCCAACGTCTGCGACATTCATTGTTGCCAATGCGCAAAGGACCATAAATCTTACGCAAAACCTTTCTCCCGAAAACTCTTAAAGTCTACTCATCAAATGTTCGTTCGTCGAAAGAGGACCTTAGTTCTCAATTACATACTCAGTCCATAGTAGCAGCTGTTGGCACTGGATTTTCAGGCTGACAATGTTGTTGGTGTTAAAGCTGGTTGCAAGATAGACGAAGTTATCTACGACTTCAAAGTTATGACTGTCAACAATACGTGGACCGGGGCGCGAATACGAAAACTGCTTTTTTGATGACAGAAGATATTTCGTCTTGTCCTCGTTTACTACCAGACCCATATCCTTCACTTCCTTATACAGGCCGGAGAAAACAGAACTCACTGCGTGATTTTTGAGGCCAATAATGTCATTATCATAGGCGAACGCCAGCAGCTGTACATTTTATAGAAGATTGTACCTTCTCTACTCTACCCTGCATTTAAACGATAAGGAATCACCTCGTTTGGTGTCGAACGGTCAGTTTACGTAGCCGTATTAGGTTTGCGGTGATACCAAATTCAAATATAGCTGCGATAAAACAGTTGCTATTCGTCCTGTCGAAGGCGGCTTTAAAATCGACGAAAAGGGCCTTTTCCAAGGTGTGGTATGTGGAAATACCTGGTCAATGGTTGTTTTATCAGGTCTTAATCCACACTGATAAGATCCAATCAATTTGTTGACGGTGGGCTTCAGTCTTTGACACAACTCGCTCGATAGAACCTCATATGCGGTATTAAGCGGGGTTATCGCTCATTGAGCATGCTTTCCTCCGACCATATTTTGCAATGAAGCTGATTCATGCATCTTATCAGTTCCTCACCGCCGTATTTGCATAGCTCGGCCGTCAATCCATCGGTCACCACCGATTTGTTGTTTTTCAAGCGAGCAATTGATATTCGAACTTCTTCGTAGCTAGGTAACGTAATGTCTTTTCCGTCGTCATCGAATGGGGTTTCCGCTTTACCTTCTCCAGGTATTTCACTTTCACTGCCATTCAGCAGGCCGGAGAAGTGTTGCCTCCGTAAATTCAGTATTCTTTGAGCATCGGTTAATTGATCACCTCTTTATATCCCACAAGTGTTTGTTCGTGTCTTGAAAGCTTCTATAAGCAGTCGTATCTTTTCATAAAATTTTCAGGCATTACCCTTGTTGGCCAAATTATCCGAACTAAATTTCAAAATTGTACTCTCTCTGCCCAACAGATAAATTTAAGAAAATTACATTCCATATACAATAGAGTTCAATCATTAGGAAGTATTAAAATTATATTCATTTTAAGGCATTTCGAATAGTCAGGGATGTTATAGAAACCGACACTGAATTACTTATTTATCGGAATTGAAAATCAAGTTTGCTTGTGTGTACTAGATTCATAGACTAATATCGTCTTAAGAAATGAGCCTCAGTAATACATGGTGCAGGAAGTCATTGCTGCAACACACTACGGTTTTTGGCAGAAAGCTCCTATCAAGGGTCTGTGGTGACTCAAATATCTCCTTAATCTAGGTGGTAATTATGGAAGTGCTAAAGACTTTTGAGCGGTTGATTTGTCCACGCTGAAAACAATGAAAGGAATGAACGGTAGCGAGAAGTGGAAGAAGGTAGCACACAATTCTGTCAACGAATAACTGCTCGGTTTAATTTTGACATTTAAACCGATAAATCAGTCTCTGTAACACCAAAAATCGGCACAAATGCTGTTTCGAAAATGAAATCGATATGCAAATATATTTCGTCGATTTCAATTCTGATTCTGACAACTATCTGAGTCAGTAACACCCCTGAATATTAGTGAGGAAGCGCAATTTATTTCTATTCATGTATGTATGTATTACTATATTATTCTCCCCATTGATGACTTACGAGGTGTGACAATTCGGTAATGAGACTGGTTATATTGCCGCGATTGTGGTAACCCTGCGACCTCGAAATACCCGTTATCATTATTCTCTCTATTGATATATTTGCCATCGCTCTTGCTTGTTTAGTTCGCCTGCTGTGTCGTGTTGAGAAAACGTGTGTTCGTGGTGCTCTTCACGAAACGAAACGAAAGCAAGAGCAACGCGTAGCTGCTTAATCGAGGCGATGAAAGCTGGTTGTCTCCACACGCTCCCTTCCCAAAACACTTCGCATGAGCAAGTCGAAGGTGAGATTAAGTCAACAGGGTGCGCCCAGACATCGCTCGTAACTGGATCCTTCATCAAAACAACGCGCCGTGACACTCCGCCTTCATCATATCCCATTATTTGGCCTCTGGCCGTGTTGCAACAAATGCCTTATTCGCCCGATATGTCACCCTGTGACTTTTTTGTTTTCTAGCACAAAATCGGTGGTTAGAGGAACCCATTTTGAGTCAATTGAGGACATCCATGCAGCCATGACGAGGGTACTCGCGGACATCCCAGTTGTTCCAGAAATTTTACGAAGCATGGAAAACGCGCTTTAATCGTTGTATAGCTGCCCAGGGGGTCTACTTTAAGGGGATGGCAGGGGTGTAGAATAATTTTGAAATACAAGCATTCGGCTTTTATGAAATCATCACTTAATTGTCACACCTCGTAATGTAAACAAATAGTTTAGGAGGAAGGCCTTGGCAATACCCTACTTCAGTTTAAGAATTAGGGTACTTACTGAAAGCAAAGAGAGGGTTGAATTGGTTCTTGGTACAATCTGCTCTAAGTTCTCCAGTTAATTAATGAATGGTTTGTATATACGTATATTTGTTTATTTAAAATTTTTGCATCCATTTACTTAGTTACTTAACTTACAATTAAAGTATGTGTAAATTTAAAAATTTCGATATTTAGTTACAATATACAGCTTTCTAATAGTCATTCGACTATTTATTTATATCTAAAACATAACACTGTACAGCACGCGGCTGAGCATTGAACCAAACCATATTTTATCATAAACCGTATAAGTAAGAAAGCAGTTCCTCCGCTTTTTTGATATTAGACCCAGAAATCGGTATAAGGTTTTTCAGCAAGTTCTTACAAGTTTTGAAAGAATTTTGTTTCTGCAAACAGAAAATATACTATTTATGGTGAAGAAGGTGGTCGAAGTGCCAAAGTTGAATAAGTTTTCAAAAGCTTAAATATTTGGACTTCGAAAAAACTTGAAAAGATTTCCGAGCCTATTTTCATAAAAGCGGGGAACGTACTTTGAACTCATATTCTAATGGCATAAAAAATTGGTTTGACCATAAGTGTAATTACTGTTCCATGCTAATTACCTTCATATAAAACATAGATAATATTTTCATACAAAATCGAGCTCTTTTTTTATTTGATAGTGTGTGTTTAAAAATAATATTGTAACTGCAGTTACTATAATATAATAATATACAAACATTTTCGTATGTAAGGCGTGTTTGGTGTTCGGTAATCTTTTCTTTTATATGTTTTTCTCTAAAACTTTTAATTTTTCTAAACATTTTTTAAAAATATCTATTTTTAGTTAGAAGTATATAGCAAATTATTTTTGTTGAAAGATTCCTCATTAGAAGACTCTGTGAATGCATGTACAGTAGAATACAAGTTATTTCTGAATATACGATTATGTGCATTTATACATATCTCCATATAATGTATTTATATACATATATGTATGAATGTATATAAATTTCAAAGTAAGATTCGCTTTAATTTTAATTTAGTTGTTTTCACGAAATATTTTTACCATAATACATGTACATATGTATATTGATGTTTGCTTACAACTATCTGGATTGATATGCCTTTTTAGATGTTCATTATCAAGGGTTTTAACTGAGTTTATATTGTTCGGCCTTACTTCTTATTCCAACAACCAAAACTTTATTGTCCCTTCCGAGTCGAAAATGTGTTGCGTATGGTACATGCATTTGTATGTACGAGTATATACTTCGAATTTTTGTAGAATATATGAAATCGTTTAAATTTTTGATAAATTCGCCAAAGCCGATTTAATAATAGTTAGCAACAGAAAGGAGAAATTCCAAATGAGATTGGCCGATGGAGCGCGAATTGGGAATTACATATGTGTAATCATAACGAAAAATCTCCTATTATTTTCTACTTTTACAAAAAATAATAGTAATAAAAGCTTATGCGCATATTTCGGCAACTTCTCTTTTCGTATTGCCCTTCACGCTCAAGCAGAGAAAATTTGTTTGGGTTGCAAATTCGTCAGTTTCACTGAATCTGGCGCAATTGAACGCATCGCGTGCGCCAATATATTGTTCCTCTCACAAGCCACAAGACATGCCTTCATAGAACAACTATACTTGAACGTGTTCTAGACTAATAAGCCAAAACGAAAAACTTTAACCGTTAAATAAATTTTAAAAAAATATATATAAGACCTCAATAAAAAGAATTTAATGTGATGAAAACATTCAAAATAACACAATTGTAATAATTTTTTGGCATTTTTTCCAAAAACACTCCTTCTCTGTAATACCATTTCATTAAAAATGCACATATCAGTGTTACAAATAGTTGAAAATTATATTGCTATAAAAATTTTAACAAAAAAAATAAAATAAAATAGAATGCTGAAAGTAACAATAAGTAAATATACAAATATACATATAGTAGATATTTAAAAGTGCAAACGATATGTTTCTATATAGTGTTTAGCGGTACATAGATTAAAAAAAAAAAACCTTTAATGAACTTTAATACAAGAAAGTTTAAAAATTGTTTACTTAGTTTATAAATCACACATGTACATACATACAGACATCTATTGTAAAGCAATAATTACGACAATAAAACCATTAGCCAGGACTATATTTTCTCGTTACACAAATGTATGTATGTACATAAATGCAAACGCATATTCTCTGTAACATCAACAAAAGATGAAATATGTCACATATAAACATAGGTATGTAGACCTGTCTTTCACATTCTCTAAAATTAAATATTTATGTTTCTTCACTCCCAGTTGTTATCCTAAGATATTAAATTGGAATAGACTAATAACGGAACAAAACATATTTTGGAAGGCTGCTCAGTACTGCCAATTGCTTTATATTTAAATTTATACATAAAAGGAGATAGATTCATTAATAACGAAAGATATAACTCTCTTGCAGCAGTGCCATAATTTGAAATGAACTTGAGGCAACCAGAGATTTGGGGTTAAATCTGTTGGAAATAAACAATTACTTTACATATGAATCGTTGCTGCTGTGTAACGCGCTTCTCCTCGTCGCCATGACCACTGACTTGGGCGATACTGAAAAAATAATAAAATTGGTTACGTTAAAAACATCCATGCAAGTATAAACATCTGTGTGTATGTATGTTTAAATTACGAAAAAGTAATGTCGGAAATAAGTAATGAATTTAAATACTGTGAAGATTCCTATTAATATATTAATAACATATTTATGTATGCATATATGTATATACATTTATTAGAATATTTCAAGTAATGAAGTATATAATATACCAGCGTACAAGCCACCGCTGTTAACTAAGACAAAACAGAATAGGTGATAGAATCAACGACAATTCAATAGGTAACTGTCTGCCTACGCGCAGCTCACGTATAAAAGGAGCAGCATCAGCAGCGGGAGATTACTTATTAACGTATATTTGCACTTTCGACATTCGGTCTGGTTATCATCCCAGCTTTTATCGGCATTCAAGCGTTTGGCTTTGTCGAAGGACCTTCCATAGTTCCTTCTTATGTGTTTCTGCTCAGCTGTTATTCAAGCCTTATCGTAAAGCCGGCTTTGAGTAGAGGACAAACTTCTTTAATTGCTCTCATGATGCTCTTCTGCCGAGAACCCTAGATTTTTATTTTGAAGTCAAAATGCTAGTGATCGGAGAAAAAGTGATTCAAGCAGACGTGCCATAATATATATAATATTTAAGTAGTTTGCTGAGCATCCTATAACAAATGTAGAACTGAGAATATAAATAAAATTACACTACATTTGCGGGAGTTCTAAAGCGTCCGGCACAAGTGGCACAGTTAGTTAAAATCACAACCATAAGCGCCGCTGCAAATCATCTAAAACTCCCAAAATTAGTACGGTCTTATATTTTAGAAGTGAAGAGGTCAGCATATTAGTAACACTTCCCTTACTCGAAATAGAATTTGGAAAGAAAAGTAAGAGGTCTTACATATTCAGCGATGAATTCAGACATCAAAGACACACTTTCTACTTTACCTCCTAGCTTCCAAGGAGTAGTTTCATTATTATTATTTCAATACGTCATTCTCTCGTTAACAGTTTAAAGATATATGCAGATATATATTATATTTACTAAAATTCTTGAGCTAATTGAATGCAAATTCGATGCAGTGGAAAATGAGAATATAAAGGTAGAAATGTGTGATTGGATTGTACTGTCTTATCATTTAAATAATCAAACGTTACTCGAATTTATAAGTCAAAGAAAATGGTGAACATTAATGATGATCTAACTTGTAGAAAAAATAGTGTACCAACCTGATGCAAGTGCTTCGACTGCTTGTAAGAAATGACATATTTTAGTAAATTATATGTAGGTGGTCAAGCACATAAAGAAATATTTCAAGTTAAAACTAATTTTTAACCCAAAGTAATAATCTCCTTTTTCAATCATTACATTGAAGTGTGCCTGTGTTATTTATTGATTCTTACCTGAATAAGAAGTTGACCACTTTTAGTGTGGGGGTTTCTGTACGCGTAAAATACCCAAAGCATTAATGTTAACACTAGGCAAATGGGTACCATAAAGCCAAGAGCAAGCCCCATGCTTTTTGACTCATTGTGTGTTTCCAAAGCTTCATTCACCACTCTCGCAACATCATTGTCTTCATGTGCTGGCGTTAAAGTTGGTCTATATATTTCGCTTCCATGTGGTGTGTTTTCGTTTATATTTTGAGTGTTATTGCTAGAGCTACCACTAGGTACATAAGTTGGGGTTGTGTTAGGAATGACATTACTGTTACTGCTGGCAGTTGCATTGTTTCCTTTCGAGCCCAGAGGAGGACATGCTGATGCATCCGATATTTGAGTACGATCGCATCCTTTAAAAAAAAAAATTAAAAAAAACATGACCTCGTGGTGGACATTTAGAGATTTTCATTTTTTTATGTATACCCTTTTGCTGCCATTCCTGTTTCCTGCGGTCTGTACCAGTTGAACATCTGTTTAGAGTAGGGCACCAAGCGCACTAATATTAAAAGAGTTATGTATTTAGCATTGCTGTAAAAGTCAATAGTGTTTCTTCCGTTTATTATTTAGCACTTACATCGAATGAAGTTTTGTGGTTACTACAAGCTGCACAGTCTTTATAATCAAGGCAAGTCGGTAAAGCTTTTAAGTAAATAATCGTTGAGTTAGAAATGCCGGTATTGGACAAATTGATGCGATGATACTCGTAAATAGTTTTCCTGCGTGCGTCTGTGTGGTGTGTAAAACCATAATTAACTTTTATGCGTACACAAACAACATTAAAATTTGCTAAATGTTTTACTTACAGAAAACAGTTTTGTCAATTATATACGCATCTGATAAACCAACTTTTACAGGATGCTTATCATCTTGGATTGCATTAATGTCGATAGGAACATAGTAGTAAATGAAAGCAATATCTCCGTTCTGATGCAAAGTTGCGCTAAAAGTGAATTCTGGCACTTCCCGTTTATCTTGTAGTGAAACTTTCTCCCAAACTACAGTGAATGCCGTGCCTTTGATAAGAAATTAATTTTAGTAAAAGTGTAAAACTCTTTTCTTAATTTTCCTTTCTTATATTTACCATTATCTTTAATTCGTACAAATGAATCATTTGACAAACTGGTGTCAAAGTTAGCCATTAGCGGTGCAATGTACTGTGTTGCAGCTAACCAGGAGTGTACATAATCACCAGTATAGAGGAAGCCTCCAGTTGCTACCGTAACGTTTCGAACAGGATGACCATAAAAGGGAAAATCGAAGCTTAACTCCACTGTCTAATGAATAAATAAAAATGCCATTAATATTTCGTGTTATTAAGTATTAAGCCTGGGGAAAAAGTATTATTTGTTAAATATTATATATAAAATTGCATACGAGTTAAAGAATTAGACTTCGAGTTCCATTTAACCATATATTTGACTTTTTCTTTGAACTTTATAGAACTACTTTGGCTTTCCCAACGCTTTTACTAATGAATGTCTTTCAAATTGCTCGCTTCTCTAGACTTGCGAAATGAAATTTAAGGCGAAATATCATATAGTTAACGCCACCAATTCCTTACCGAAGAATTGAATTTAACTAAAAAATTTCTTGGAGTTTTATCCCTCGGAATGAAATTAAACTAAATAACATATTACTATAAATTAAGTTTGAGATACTCTTCATTACATTGGAGCATCGATGCTTTCATATTTAAAATTTTATGAATAGCATTTCATATTCCTGCGCCATATGCGATTTTTCAATCCAATATTAAAATAATAAAATAAAAATAAATTAAAATGACTTGGCCTGGTTATTGATCTTCAAAATCTTTGTATAATTGTTCTTGGCTTTTTGACTTTAAAACTCAGTTAATAATAATAGTCGGTCTCGACAGCAGCTAACATGGATATTCTTGAATTGATACCATAAACAAAAAGAAATATAGGTCGACTACACTGCTTTAAAAATATACTGTACATATAAGGCATTGGAACAATCAAAATGTGGACGTCTTGCTTACACTGAAATCAGCTAAGAGAAACAAGAGAAAAAAATGTTTAAACTTTGTTCTCATACCATAGCTCTACGATGAGATTGCGATAACATGGCATTGAATGTAGAGTTTTTTACAGATTCCCACACTCGGTCAGCCTCAGCCTGGTCGACATAAATTGAGCTGTTGTAATAGATGTGATGATCCTATGGAATAATTTGACAATATGAACAATCCGAAATATTTTCTCAAACTTCTACTTACATTAGTAGAGTTGACTGTATAATTAGTGTTTTCAATTTTGCTTATGGTCTCGTTGTCGGGTACATCCACGTTATCAATAAGTTTTTCCTCTGGTGTTTCAATCAGTTCGTCAGATCCATTGACTTCCTGTTTTTTAGCTTCTAAAGACCCGTTAACAACACCTAATGTTGGCTGTACTGTGGTAGTTTTTTCCTGTGTTAATTTGATGCCTTCATCTTTTCTATCACTTGCAGAGAATGGTACTACCACCGATGATATATTTGATGTGGCGGTTTCTACAATCTTTTTGCCATCGCTATCTGTCGTATTTACATTCTGCAAGACACTTTCGTACTGGTTTTTCGCATAAATTGTCTGCGTCTCACGTTTAGGACGCAATTTAATCATTGAAATTTGCGCTCTATTTTGCGATGAAATCTCCGGAAATACGCTATATAATTCCCCTTAAAATAAATTAGAAATTCTTTAATTAACAAAAAGACATATACATACATAAATATAGGGATTAATAAAGTTCAAAGCAAATGGAAAAACGCCTACTGACATCTTGTCATTCATTTTATACGCGAATAATAGAAAACACCAGTCAACCGGTAGGATTCTGTTGTTTTTTCAAGACTTAAATAGTTCCAAGTAATGTGTTATTCCTGAAATGAGTTTTATATACCTGTCTTAAGCATACACATATGTAAATGAAGGTAACCCACAATTTTTTACCGCAAGTTCTAATGCATAGTACCGTCCATTTCATCATTATTATTTTCCCTTACTGTGGATTTCCATAACATAGTGTTTTTGGTAAGACTGTGGACGTGATGTCGTCTAAATCGACTTTTAAAAGAGCCAACTAATCTAACCTAACCACATCATTTATGGATATGAATGAATTGTTGTTGTTTACATAAATAGTATAGGAGGGCGCAATCATGTTAAAACTTATCTTTGACCACAAAATATTGATTTAGATAATAAATAAAGATAAAGATAATAATTATAGATGCCATTTCCAAACTTATGTACATATGCATGACCACCGTTTCATTTATGTATGTATGTACTTTTGTGCTCATTTTGAATTACGAGGCAAACCAAAAAATGTTTTGATCAGTCTTTATTCGTAAATACTTGCTTTGTTTCCGACAGTCCCATACACATGAACTGTAGTGACAATTCTCCAGTATTAGCAAACTAACCCGGCCTATTATCCACGGGATTTTGGAAAAGATATACAAAATTAATCTCCTAAAATAACTCTCAAAATAGCCCAATAATAGAATGACAAAAGAAACAAAAATAAACAGTTTCATAAACCGCAAACCAGCAAACGATCAAACTGAATGAATGCCGTTTCATAGAATATTGAATTTCAAATTTGTTTATCTACTGTAGTGTCTCGGTATGGAATTTCTGTAATTAATGTCGACACTGCAATGACAGATCGGAATTTTAATGCGTCTAGGAAGACAAATATGTATTTATACAAACAAGAAACCTCCTCATGTCGCCGGAGCATCACTTGCACAATGGTACGAGTTAAGAAGCATAATGCTTTGCTGCGCAAGCCATTCCTATTGAGATGCTACCTCCAACTAGGCATATCAGAAAGGGAGTAATAGATAAAGGACACCATCCAGCAACATGTTCAACAACCGGTGAACAGGGCGCCGTACAGACAAGCAATGAACGCTATTCACCGGAGTCAGTCTACACCTTCAAAGTCCCCCTTCCCGTGAATGGCGCACGTTTTGGTATTACCTACTTTGCAACTTTTTTATTAATTTAAATTATTATGGCACGAACTTATATGAGGGAGCCATTATTTTGAATTCACAATTATAATTAAAGATAAGAAACATAATATATATATATTATTTAGTAAGTTACTGTTATATGTATTTTAGTGCTTATCTGGCGAAATGATTATTAATTGCAAAGTTTTTGAGATTTTCTCAAAGAAGATTTTTCTTAGGAATAAGACTAATATATGACGAATAGTTTTTCCACTTAATAAAATAGATAATCTCCTACTAAGTTTATATTAAATCGTTATATATACCTACATATGTGTTATTTCCGTTTGTAAAAATATGCAAATCTCCAAAGGATACCTTCCGATTGACTGATACAAAATTTTCGGTATGTGGACAAGGGACCGAGCTATTCGGAAATTTTTTTTTGTGTAGTTTTAACCCTAAAAATATTCCCCAAAATAGTTTTTTCGGAATGTTGCGGGAGTGACAGTCTTGGCTGCATAAAAATCCGGGTCGTTCCGGTATAAAGAACCGCCTGTTGCGGGGAACTATTGGGTTTTAGTCGCCATTCACATGCATGCCTTACCGCGGGTAAATTCTTCAAACCCTAACCCACTTGGGTTCGAATTACTTGAAAATCACTCGGCTTTTTGATTAGATAAACCATAATCCTGTTTATCTCTTCTCTCCGGAAAGTAAAATTCGGTACATACGATGCTTTTACTTAGATTAGAAAGACTACTTTTTTATAAGTGAAGTGGACTAGATACCGCACTATGCGAAAGAATCGGATTTCTAGTTCCCGCGACAGTCGGGTCTTTATACCGGAACGACCCGGATTTTTATCCGGCCAAGGACTGTCACTCCCGCAATATTCCCCAAAAAGTACTTTGGGGAATAATTTTGCGGTTACAACAACAACAACAACAAAGAATCGGATTTATGGTTCGCTTTACTTGAAATTCTTTTTTACGGGAAGTTACGGTTTGGTTAAATTTCTTGAACGGAATGCTTTTTTTAACTGGAAATAGATTAAAGGCATGGAACAATGTTCGACCTCTCCGAAATATAAATAATTCTTTTTTTTACGAAAAAGTAATCCTCGACAGGTTAGTATGATTTGGATATACATATGTAAATATATAAAGCAGCGTATGGCCGAGTCTGTTCGTTAAAATGAAAACTGGGAATCCCTTGCTATACTGACGTCAACGTAAAATTTTACATTTCAGTTTTTGAAACGAAAGATTAAAGTTTTAAGTACAACATATATATGTTTATAATTAATCATTAAAACCAATAATTTTTATTTATTTTGTTATATGGTGATTGACTTTGACTTGTATAAATTTACTTTATTTATGACACACATCCGTATCTTTACAATAAGAAAGAAAAGTTATTCACGAAAACAAACAAATCGTTCCCTAATGCAAACATACTTACACCTCATCTCATATTTGTATGTCAGTCAATGTCTTCAAAGAATGGAACCTAATTTAAGTCCTTCCATGTAGTTTTCATAACACGCAATTCTTTAAAACATATTCACAAATAATGCAATTAAGTTTCTGTGCTATCATTATTTTCCATGTATTTACATACAACATACATATGCATATATATATATTTTTTTTAACATAGATGCATAAGTATGTACATATAAGTTTAAATGTATGTCTGGCTACATGTATACATTTGTATTTTTGTGAGACATAGGGTAAAACAATATAGCAGAGTATTGCGTACACATAAGAGTACGTACATTAAAATAAATGGCACACTCATATATACATTTCAATTGCCTTAATTATCAAGTATTGAACTATAAGATTTTTAGTGGAATATGTGTCTCCACACACATAGCCATTTTTAAGTATTCAATTATATAGATAAATTCACAAGAGATCACTTCGAAGAATAAAAAGTTTTATTATAACACCGTATACCCTCATATATGATTATATGCATACATTTATGAATAAATAGTGGATGACACAAACGCAATTAATGATTCCCAGAAGAAAATCAATGCATACGAGCTTCCAGACTAATTGGAACATATATGGGTTCTCAAATCAAAACTTGCATTAAAACATCTAGCAAAATATTAATAATGAGTCTTATCTGTATACTGAGCTGCAAAAATCCTAAACTTAAATATTTTCTTTATAACTTTCTGCATTTTACAGCCGTATGTGTTATTGTTCTTCGCTTTCTCAATTGGCTATTCACCTTTTGCACACCAACACACGAATGTAAAATTTTCTCTAAACAAACTCTTAAAAAACTTTCATTACAAAAATACTTGCGTTATTTCGAGACTAACGAAAATCCACTTACTTCCATCAAAGTTATTAGCAGTAACCACATTTAAAATACAAATTGTAAAAATTAGTGCAGTAGCACAAAATAGCAAATTATAATTCGTCATTTCTGTTAGCTTATAAATCTCCAACTGAGGTGAAATTGTAATTGTTTCCAAGTATGTTCGTTTATTTTTATTCAGGCTACCAGAGGAATGGTGAATTCGCCCAATGTCTAAACTAAATAGATCACGTCATTTGGAGATTTTTATGAATTTATCAAATTGACGTCATAGTCTTGGATATTGTTTCATAATTTGTATTTTAATTGTCATATGAAGGACGAAAGTACTATATTTGATATTATTTACCCTAATAAATAAATATTGTATTAAATACAAAGCTCAAACTGAATGTCTTAAAGCCTTTGATCAGTCCTTGGCTTGATTCATCAATCTTCCCCTCGTTGTAAAGATTTACATTATATCTGATTTGTCCGTCATTATTATATAATATTATAATTTATTATAACCAAAGAATATCAATAAGCCACGTGAATTGAACAAGCTAAGGTACCTAACAGGGTGCTAAACAGACATATTTTCTGTTCCTTTCAACTTAGGTCTCTGTCTGCAAATAATCTAATGGACTCTATACTTGGATCATATTGAGTTCATCGCCTTATCAAACCTGAATTTTATCATGCTACTCATAAGCTTTTCCTCTAAAACGTTAGACGATTCCTTGCCAATTCATCTCGCTCACTAGCGAAGAGTATCCTTGCTGGTATTTTACCCCTTGTTTCATGCACTTCGGACCGATATCCCATCATAAACAGGGCTATGTGACTATCTTGATCATCCAGTGTACGGTTGAATCGGTTTTCTGAATATCCAGTATCAGGCACATCTCTTGAAACATCGACGATTTGAAATTGCTTCTATATGTGCACCGTAATGGTAATTCAATCGTAAGTGAATACATACGCTTCTGTTTTAGCTTCTTGATTTGAAATTTGGTAGACCACCGGCTATTTAGTAAAGTAGTCCATCACCAGGAGGACGTACTTGTTTTTCTTGTCTGCTCTTAGGGAGTGGACCTGAGCTATCAACTTATCCCTCAATGTCGTCTGAATTTGACTCTTTAGCTTGTTGTTGTGATTTCTATTGAGGCCTGGGAATTATTCGTTCGAGTTCCCCCTTCACCTTTGGCATCTCCTTTTAAATTTTGTTGCCAGACTTTGGCTACTAAGTTTAATTCCGGCTGTCGCAGAAATGGTTGAATCTTGGGACTAGGATTAACTATAGCCTCAATACTAGTGCTTGCTCTTGTGCTTAGACTAAGTTGAACTCCTGTATAGCACGTCGCAAAAGCTACTTTCCAAGTCCCACCTTGAAACCTTCTATAAATATATATTTTCAAGCAATTCTATTGGCGGTGAGCCACTCTAGGTCTATTATTCGCGCATTTCGGCCTCTTTCCTTTTTTTCTTTATGTCTGCAATCCCGTCTTGCATCTATCTTAAGCCCTCGGTATCTATCCTATACCGCACGTGTTGACTTCAACATTTCGAAGTAGGTCGTCTGTTTTCTCTCCACTGCAGCTAGACATACTTCATCGTACCAACTCTTTTCGGTGGTAAGTAGGGATTTCAACAGTTTTCTGTATCGAGTTGCTGATTAGTCCCCTCAGATAGCAGGTGAGCAAGTAGAAAACTGTTCTGCTGCCTGTTATTGTTGTCGCTTTCGGCGTCGAACCATCCTTGTGTTTGTTAATGGACATTCTTTGCTACACAGAGGTGGTTGCCTATTTTTGCTGCAACACGATTGTCACAGGTCTTCTGTCAATCATAATATGATCGATTTGGCTGCGTGAATTTCGCTCCGGCATGTAGCTCGATGAATTCGCTTGCGCCATAAGATGGTTCTAGGTACAACCATATTTCGAGCAATGGCGAAGTTGATCAGCTTCGGCCCGTATGAGAATACTTCATTATAGAAGCTGAATTGCTGATTGACCAACTACGATATGACCCCGCTTAGGGGCAGATTTATCCAATCTAAGTCGCCGAGGTAATCTAATGGGAGGTCTAGGAAACGTGCTGTTTCGACAGGATCAGACCAGTGGGGAGAGGGGTTAGATGTGTCGGCTTAAGGGGGCATGTGAAGAGGCGATTAGTGTTGTGTGGAGACTCTCCACATTCAGGGCATGCGTTGAATATTCTGATGTCGAGTCTGGATAGGTAGGAGTTTAACCTGCTACACTATCCAGACCTAAGTTGTGCCAAGGTCACGCGGGTTTCTCGGGGTAGCTCGAGTTTGTTGTCTTCAATGGGTGGTGTTTTTTCTCCGAGCACGCCATTCACGGGATGGGAGTGTTTGAAGGTGTTGACTGACTCCTGATGGGTAGCGGTCAGTACTTGCCTCTACGCTGTCCTGTCCAGCAGTTGTTACCCCAGGTGCTGCCGGCTAGCGCTTTGAGTATTTTGTTGCGGCTCTGGAGTTTTACGGCAATTACGGTCGTTTGCGGAGTGAAGGGGTGCAGGCTACCTAGTGTGACTCCCAATATCTTTGGGTTGTTTATAGTCCGAATTTTTACGTCATCGACCTTAACATCTAATTGAAGACAGTACTCCTTCGTCCAGCTGGTTAAAAGGGAAGCCGAGGATTTAGTTAGCTGTATTTTTAACTGTCGTGCAGTGAAGAATTGAGAAAGGTCGGTAAAATAGCAGTCCACTTTCGAAGAAAGGTTTTATATATATCCTGGCCAGAAATTAATCATTAGTGGGGAGAGGACCCCACCCTGCGTAACCCCCTGTTGCTATTGTAATTTATTTGTCGACCACTTAGGTAGCCCATTACCTACCCCTACAGCCTCGGCGGTAATGAGGATTCCTTAATGTCAGCAGCACTGAATGATTGACGGTGTTAAAAGTTTTTGACTAATCCAGTGCTATCGGGACAGTTCGTGCGTAGCGTCGGTTTTAGCCATTGACTATCCGAGTGTTAATGGCGTTTAGTGCTGTTGAGGTACTGTGCACCATATGGAAGCCGACCGATAAGGCTCTCCTTTGTTGGCTGGCTTCCCCAGTTTGATTAGCGGGACCACCCTGGCCGTTTTCCACATGTCAGATATCATTAAAGTGGTCAGAAGCACGTTGAGGACTTTGGTGAGGAAATCTTCTCCTGCTGGTCCAAGATATTTCAGCATCAGCATGCTTACGGGGTTACACGTCGCTTCGTTTTGTCTACCCAAGGATGCGAGGCGCGGTCACCAAATGAAATTTCAACTCGGTCATCGCGTCTCGTCGGGTTAGACAACGACTTGATTGTAGCCCAGCACTTTTTTCGTTTGGAATTGTTCACTACTTTATGAATCTCCGCGTTTAAATCCCTGATTAAATAATTCACAGGATCGGATCGCCGCTTCTGTCGGAAATCCGGGGCGAATTTCAGCAATTCGGCCTGCCGGGATAAAGTGGGCAGCAGCGGTCACGACGATCCTGCAGAAGGAACATTTACCAGAAGTGACGTCTGATGAAGTGGGGAGAGCGCTGAAGGCGTTCTCGGTGAATTCCGTGAAACCGAACCAGTTAATTTTTTAAAGTTATCAAATGTCCGGTAATCCGTGGAAACAAAATCGGGGGGTCGCCATATACTATACGGCTATACTTTTTATCAGACCAGCATTAGCAATTGTTATATCAGGCGGGCTTTGGCAATTACCAACATCTTTGGTGGGGGTGTTATCGTTTATTGTGCAGAATGTCGAATCGGCTATCTGTTGCGCCAGCTCCATTCCTCTACGGTCATTTGACATGCTAGAATGTCATGCTACGGGGAGCTCTTGGACGTTGGCAGCATGGGGCCACATAACTTTGCGGTCCACTCCCTATGGATCTTAATGCCTGAGCAGACCTCAAGATGACTCCAACCATTGCACTGGTTTCACCTAACCGAGGTGGAGGAGTGGTTGAGTCTTTTATGGCACACGCAGCAGGGTTGGTTCGAAGCCAGCCCTGATAAAAGGATTTGGAGCAGCCCAGCTGCGAGGCATTGCTCCGTTGGCGCACTTAAATGAATGTTACCTCTTGACCTAAACGTGCTTAGATCGCCGAAAGGGTGACAGCCCTTGGCCGGATAAAAACCGGGTCAACTCCGGTGCGTAGAACCGACTGTCTTGAGAGTTATATGTTACATCGTCCTTCGTTTACGTCGTTATTAGGAAGCCAAAAGTTATTAAAACCGATCAATAAAAAATCGCAGTTTCCGTCACCTTTTTTTCTACCTCCCATAGAGAGTGTAATTTCGTAAATCATTGATTCTAGTTTAATAGCATTTTCCATAGCTGAAGTAAACGTTACCAACTCTTCGTTGAAGACCCTGACAGCTTGAAATGTGCGTTAATTAGATTATATATGTACATATGTAAGAATTTTGTTTGTTTCAATAATAAGAATCTAATTATTTGATTAAAGCGGAGAATAGAGACCGGTATTACACATTATGCTCTTTTTATTTCTGATAGTTTTGTTCTACAAAATAACAAACACTAGTTATACTTATATAGAGATTAATATTATTATTATTTTTTTTGTAAGTACATATGTACATATATTTTTTCAAATTTTATTTTGAAAATTTATAGAAATAAATATATATGTACATACATATATAAATTGATGATTTTTTCAACAAAAACAAGGAACCTACATTTCACACTAAGCCGCCTCCGAATGGCTGATGGTTTTTTGTTTTGAGGAAATACACCGGAAGGTAATTCCGAACGGCAGTACACACTACTAACCACTAGGATGTCGCTGCCTATATAAATAAAGAAACAAACAAACTTTTTAGAATTTGGTTCACATTATCCGAAATAAGTAAATAGCCCATCGTCCTTACATAGGCCTGAATTCTGCACTTGTCTCCATTCATTATTGTGTAAATAATTACAAAAATTTAATATAATATCTTGAATTCACCAATAGTTTTTTAAGTTGGCAGTACCTTTGTATTCACGCCATTTTGTTTTGACGTTTTCACCACTTAGGTGCATAGAAAATTTTAAGAAGACGAGGGCAAGTCTGCTCAAATTTTCAGATTAGATAAAAATTTGCACAGTATTCTGGAGAAAATAGGATATAAAAATTTGATATATAAATAGTGATATGTGGTTTTCCATTGATTTAATTTGAAAGGTACGACATATATGCAATTCTAATAAGAAACAAAACATTTAGTGGATTTATAAAAGTTTTTGTGTTCAGTGTGGTTAATAAGGCGTTGGTAAATTTTTCGACTATTGGTACGGACGACTGTTGGCGATGTTAAGACTGAACAGCAGCAATAATTCATTTAAATGTACATTCATTACAAGAAGATCCTCCGGATAAAGGCCAAGCAAGAAAATCTTAAGATATTGAGGGCTAAAAATTAATAGGTATGTAAGTTATGTAAAAAAAATAAACTAGGGTAGTTCGAGCGATAAGAAAATGCAAGCTAAGAATATGTGGTGAGTGACGAATGTTTGGATAAGTGTGTTGGTTCGTATAATTAGTAAGACAAGAGGCTAAAAAAGTGAATTCAATCAATTTATTTAGTTTTGTGATTTGTAAATTTTAAATAAAATTATTTATCATTAGCTACGGTAATGATATCCACCGGAATGATTTGGTCAAATAATGCTATTTGTGATTTTTTTTATTATAAACAAATCTCTTAGCCTTATAAAGTCAATGTGAAAAAATTGTCTTGGAAATATACATACATATATCACCTATTATAAGAAAGTAAATTCCAATTTCTGAAAAATCCAAACAACATTAAAAGCTTCTGATTTTTACAAATTTCTGCTACATCTTTTGAGTTTTAAAATAAGGTACCAATGCTAGTTTTAGCCAAAGAGTTGACAAATTTTAATGAAAATGCAGGAGTTTTTAAATAAGGAAGTTATAATTATAATAAAATAGTTATATAAATGGCGTTTTATGAAATCTTTTTTGTATGAACATATATACTAAAATAACTTCATTATCTTTTTATACCAATATAGAAATTAAAGGGTGTAGTAAAAGGAACTGTCACATGTGATCATCTACTGATATAAATAACATGTACAAGAATGCCGCCTGCACGTCCTGGAAGTCTTAAAGATCCGGAAATAGCCGATCTCTTCTATAAACATGATCCTGAAAAAATATTTGAAGACCTTCGAGAAATTGGTCATGGATCGTTTGGCGCTGTCTATTACGCGCGATGTAATCTTACCAAAGAAATTGTGGCCATCAAAAAGATGTCCTTTCTGGGCAAGCAGAGCCTCGAAAAATGGCAAGATATCCTTAAAGAAATCAGGTTGTATTTTGTTTTTATTTTTACCTTTTTGTTGTGACTAACTTTTAAAATTGTTTTTATATTAGATTTCTACGTCAATTGAATCATCCCAACACAATTGAATATAAAGGATGTTATTTACGAGAATCGACAGCGTGGTTGGTAATGGAGTATTGTGTAGGTTCAGCATCAGATATTATTGAAGTGCATAAGAAACCCTTGCACGAAAATGAAATAGCAGCAATATGTGATGGCGTTCTAAACGGTTTAAGTTACTTACACAGCTTGGGACGAATACATCGGGATATTAAAGCAGGGAATATACTTCTCACTGATAATGGCATTGTTAAGTTGGCTGACTTTGGTAGTGCTGCTATTAAATGTCCAGCTAACAGCTTCGTCGGCACACCTTATTGGATGGCCCCGGAAGTTATTCTGGCTATGGATGAGGGTCAGTACGATGGCAAAGTCGACGTCTGGTCTTTGGGCATAACATGCATAGAATTAGCTGAACGAAAGCCTCCATATTTTAATATGAATGCAATGTCTGCTCTATATCACATTGCCCAAAATGATTCTCCGAATTTATCGGTAAGAAATAAAATTCCTTTAGTATTCTGTAATTCTTATTTGATTTTTAATTGTTGTGCAGAAAAATGAATGGTCAGACACTTTTTGCAATTTTGTTGAATTGTGTCTTAAAAAGATTCCAATGGAAAGACCTTCGTCGGGAAAACTGTTGCAACATGAATTTTTAACGCAACCTCGATCAGATATAGTGCTTTTGGAGTTGATTGCACGTACAAAAGCCGCTGTGAGGGAATTAGATAACTTGAACTATCGAAAAATGAAAAAAATACTAATGGTAGATACCTGCGAGACTGAGAGCGCCATTGGCGATACGGACGATACGCAAGATGAACACGCAGGTGGCGATAGCAGCAAAAGTAATAGTATTACTTCAGAACACTCCATTCACTCTGTGGGTGTGTCGGCGGCAAGTAGTCAAGTAGTACAGATATCTTCATATTTTCTAACATGGTACAAGTATATTGATTTTTATCATCATCATTACAGAGCTCATCATCTAACTCTATACCTACCGCTCAAAACCACATATTGACACAACAACAACATATTGCTGTAAATTACCAACAACAAGCAGCGGCTGTGGCAGCTGCTCAAGCAGCAGCAGTAAGCGGGGCTGCTGCACGTAATTCATCACGGCAGAGAAATCTGCCACCATTACCTAATATAATGCACAACATGAATAATAATATTACTCCTACGAACTCAACTTCAGTAGTACCAGCGCCTGTGTTGCCTGTATCTGTCACAACTCATACGGCATGTGGTGGTTCCCCAGCATCAACGTCGAATATGAGCACAGGTATGATAACACCTGCAATCGGCGTTGGGATTGGAAGTGGTGGGGGTGGAGGGGATCGTATGCCGCGCTATTTGTCCTCACCCGCTGCCGCTGCGGCAGTGTATGCTGCATCATCACAGCAAGCCATCTCTAATGCCGTCAATGAGCATGGACCCAATAATTTTGCCACAATAAGAACTACAAGTATAGTAACAAAACAGCAAAAAGAGCATATGCAGGTAAATAATCATTTAGTTATAATAAATATCGATATAAGTAAGAGATCTCGGGGGGAGTACTAAATGTATATATATATATACTAGCAGACCCAGCGAACTTCGCCTCGCCTTAATTACATGCCTTTATACTACGTTAGGAGAGATAGTAAAATTTATGTCGATAGTTCAAATCTGAATGTGAATTATTTTAACGAACTCGATCAGCAAGCAAGAACGAACAACAAAGATGGTTTGTCAACACGAGGTCATGGGCAATTCTCATACGAATCATCAATCCTCGAACATTGAGATAGAAGAATTTTATGTATTAGATATTTTCAAATTTTTAATAGATTCCTTTCATCGAGAGAGAAATGTACAGTTCGTTAAACGGTTTAATTGTTCTGCTCGGCAAAAAAATTCAGCCAGTAAGGAAATTGAGAGAGTAAGATATCATATTCTCCCAATGAGAAAATTGAACTAGTTTTCACCGCACAGGTTTCAGTAAAAATTCTTAGCTGTTTATTTTATCAGTCTATTGTTTTCTGCTTTTAAGTATTTTAAGAAAATTAGTAAATTTATGACAATTTCAGTTTATCAACCACTTAAAAGTGATTGTAGTTAAGGGAAATTATTTTATTTCAACAAATCATAATAATAGATTTATTTTTTCTGTTGTTAACGTAACTTAGTAGCATATGCAGCAAAAGCTTTAGTTTTTCTTTTAAACGCGGCTGAACACTAATAGAAAAAAAAAACTAATTTCAAACAGCTTAGCAGTTCAAATATTCTCCATCCGTCAAATCCAGGAAAGAACCCACGATTAAAGATATATTCGACAAAGAGCTGCCTCGAAAAACTTTTGTGGCTCTCAAAACTAACGTTGAGCAATACTAAAAGCTGTGACGTGGATTCACTTGGTGCGACTTATATCTTACAGGTTGCAGTCCTGCCCCATACAATGCTATACATACATACATAGCGGCTTGTATTAGGGGAGTCAGAACTGACATTTCAATAATAGGAATCGTAGGAACTCGTCTTGGTTCATAATGCTATTTCAGCTGATCCAACTTATTTTCTATTTCAACTGAAGTAACAAACGTAATGTAAAGAATTTCAAATTAGCTGTGAGATATTTGCACTTTGCATGTTAGTCAGGTCATAACATACATACATCAAAATATATATAGCGATAGATCTGTTTATACTCCCTTTTATATCATATGAATTCACCTAATGAACTCTTAGTGTAAATGCGTTCTTAGTCAGCTGTTTTGTGCTTAGTATATAAAGAATGTGATGTGAGATTGACGCATAAACTTGATAATCGATTTCCGATGCAAAAATTAAAATTTGATTAGCAGATAATAATTATATCAAGATTATCACTATTATCAGTCATTTGCATGATTTGAAGGAAAAGAGTTTATAATTTAAATTATAAAATATTTTGGTTATAATCATCTTATGTGGCAAATTCAATTCAAACAACAAATTGGCACAGGGCGGCTTTTTTCGGTCAATCTGGGCGAAATAAATATGCATGGGTTGGGTATATGATATTTTTTCTGTTATATAAAATTAATTTACATGTTTTATGTTGCCGTACCATTGAAAAGATAGGAAAACCGAACAATCGGTGCACTATAGAAAACATATCCTAGACTAATAGAATTCTAATGATCATATCTTTAGGTAAAATGCTAAAAATAATAATATTTTCAATTACATCTTATAGGAGGAAATGCATGAACAAATGTCCGGCTATAAACGAATGCGACGTGAACATCAAGCTGCTTTATTAAAGCTCGAAGAAAAGTGTAAATTAGAAATGGAAGCCCATAAGAGCGCACTTGACAAAGAATACGATAATCTGCTACATAACTTCACAAGGGAACTTGAGCGGCTAGAGGTAAGATATAAATATTGTAAGTTTTATGGTTACTAGTAATCCATTTCATTTTTAGACCAAACATCAGCAAGATTTAGAACGTCGTCACAAACAAACTGCCGTGTCTGAAAAGAAACTTCATAAAGAAATTTCACTAAAGCAAGAAAGCGATCGTAAAGCATTTGATTTAAATCGCAAAAAAGAATATAAAGCTAACAAGGAACGATGGAAACGCGAACTTTCAATGGATGAATCCACACCGAAGCGTCAACGTGATTTGACATTGCAATCGCAAAAAGACAACCTAAAGCAAGCGGAAGCGCAAGAAGAACAACGTTTGCTCAAAATACAAAGACAGTATATTGATTTGGAGATGCGAAAGTTCAAGAGGAGGCGCCTCATATCGCTTCATGAACTAGAAGATCAGTTGCTCCGGGATGTGAGTTTAACTTATTATAAATATTTATCTCTTTATGTTATTGTTAATGAGAACTTAATTTTTGTAGGAATTAAGTAAAAAGCAACAGCAACTAGAACAGGCACATGCTATACTATTAAAACATCATGAAAAAACGCAGGAGCTAGAATATCGGCAACAGAAAAGTGTTCATCAGCTTCGTGAGGAACAGGTATGCAAAATTTTCTATGATCTTGTTTCTTCATCTAAAGAATGCTTATGTCAGCTATGCTAAAAAAGAGATCCACAGCCCTTGGTTACGAATTAACAAAAAACTGTGCCCCCACAGCAGTCTTCTTATGTGTCTACGTTACCCTCGAATGAATTTGAAGCGTAGGCTTTATCATGAGTTTTATTCATTTCTTCTAATTATGGAATTTCGATTTCAAATTTATTTCGTTATTTTCGTGGAGTATCGAATTTTCAGTCAGAAATTAAATTTTTTCGTTGCTTTAGAATGATGAAGATTTCGGAAATAATAGTTCACGTTTGACGTGGTCGATTATAAAATCTTATATATTCTTATAGCTTCAGTTTTCAAATTAAATAGCCAATAGACAAAACAACAGTGGAAACATTCAAACCTTCCTCTTCCGTGGATTTCACCATGAGTTTTTCTTTTACTGAAATATCCAAACTTATAAATTCTATAACGTTAGCCTTTACATTACCCAGGGCCAATATAAATTTTTTTTGCAGTCGCACTTAGTAACATTGGTTTAATTATCAGTCAGAGAACTCTTAACTGACCATCAGCCATACTCAGAAATTGTCATTATTATATTCATGGAATGAGAGGGCTGTAGGGGAGCCTTATGGTCATTATGATCAGACTGTTTTCAGTGACTAATAATTAGTATAAATACAGGGTTTCATTATTAGACAATTCGTCTTTAAGTTGTCGCCAACCAACCAACACAATCGGGTGTGAAAAGTGAAATGCAGTAAAAATTTAATCGAATCATATCATTATAAAGTTCCTTACCAATCAAGGAAAATCAGTTGTAACCATAACACGTAACAGTTTATTTAAAAAAGGAAGAGAACCCCTTGAATACAACCCTAGTTAGGACAGCAAAGTCGATATGACCACACCAGAACTTGTGCAAAAAATTAAAAAAAATTATGATGTTGTTGTTGTAACCGCATAATACTTTTTGGCTTGTTTTCGGTGAATATTGCGGGAGTTACAGTCATTGGCAGGATAAAAATCCGGGTCGTTCCGGTATAAAGACCTGCCTTTACCCCTGCGGGTTAGGTGTTCAAGAATTTACCCGCGATGCTTGACTAAAGAAGAAACAACTCCCAGAAATGATTGGAGTGATCGATGCAACCACAAAATCCTTAACAATCATCTGGGCTTGACTAAGTTCAACAGCGCTTGGGGTGTTTATGTACATTTTTGATCTTCTGCAATGAAGAGAAGGATGGTGTATTGAATTGCTACTAGAAACGAAACTTGTGCTTATCCCTTCTAACATGAATAGACAACTCTATGCAGTAGTATAAAAGGGCACTGGGAATCTCTCGAAAAGAAAAAAAATATTTTATTTTTTATTTATTTCCACCTCTTATCTCTCGTAACTGCCATTAACGGCAGCCGCAGAAGCCGAGATGTTAGCAGTGTATACTATCATGCGCGGGTCGTTGGCTTGACCTTGGGCAGGCTAACATTCCTTGTTCTAATTGTATTCGCCTCGGCAGAAAGTACACACCCCTCCATATGGAGACGGCTTAGATTAAACCATAGACACGTACTTCTATTTGTCGGAAAAACATTAATACGCATGATACTTTTTATGTAGCTTATGAAAAATAAGTGTCCTCCGAAGCGAATGATAAGCTAATGAAAATATTAAAATATATAATATATATACTCCACTAAAGGGGGGAGCTGGTCTAGAACGTAATAAATGAATTTATTTTGAATTAACAAAGGAATCAATCCAAATCAGTGAAATTGGTTTAATAATTTAGGTTTCATCGTACAAATACAAAATTTTTCGTGTGAATTAATTTCAAAATGACCGCTGTCCAGCATTTTTCCGAACACGTTTTTTTTCAATGGGTCTATGGCCGAATATGTAAACTTCTTAATTTTTGTGCTGGATCAAAAAAAAAATTTTTTTAGTTCCTATTGAATATAAAAAATCCTACGTGCGTCTTCGGAGAACGGTATTTCGAATGTACTGTGAAAATTTCGTAAAAATCGGTGAAGATTTGTTCGCGTTATGTTTTCGGACAGTTCAAAAAAAGTGATTTCATGAAAAACGCGTTTAAAGTTGTAACGCGTTCGGGGCGTATCTACGAGGTACTGCCGTCGAATAAAAAAAAGTTGGACATTTAGACCCTAAAAGCCTTTAAAGACAAACATTTCTTGTTCGATTTTTTAAAAATTCTTGACCAGCTTCCCCCCTTAATTAACATGACAGGTAAGAGAGGAACTGAACGTTTAATACCCGACAGATATATTTGTATATATGAAAGCTTTAGAGGTCTAGATACGTGCAATGCAAATTTTCGAGCGCTTCAACAATTCGAACAGCAAAACAAAGATTTTGAATTAAATTTTTTGGTGAAAAAAAATTTACATTTAACAATAATTCAGCAAAGACTTGACTTATTGCAGTTGTTTTTATTTGAAATATTCAGTTTCCATCTTGACATTTGCCAGCAAATGCAAATCTGCAATCACCTTTATTATTGTTGTTGTAGTCCACTTTTATTCGATTATATCGGTATTTCAAACATACTGTCTGGTCTGTGAGCCTACAGCGGGATATATTAAGATGGATGGATAATAAATATACAGTGTAACAATTTTTTTTTTGAAATTTTATATTTGTGTACTCTATTTTTAGCATATTACCACACATTTCATAAGTTCAAGAAATTTGTGCCGTAGTATGTAAGCATGAAAATTTTTGTAAATAAAAACTTTCTATGGTAGCATACAAATTTTAGCCCTTTTTAATACATATATATATATATATATATTAAACCTTAAATGCTTCGCAGATAAATACCCAGCACGATACGGAATTGAAGAACCAAAATGACTACATGGATCGAGTTAAAAAAGAACTTTTGCGGAAGCATGCACTTGAAATTCGGCAACATCCTAAAAGCTTAAAGGTGTGTATATACATTTCGGGGAAATCCCAAAATTGAAAAATGTTAAGTTGTAATAATTTTTAATTTAGTGTACGATATATCGAGTTTTAAAACGGTTACGCCTATAACTAATTTCCATAATAATTTATTTTGTATTTATTATTCTCATTTTTTTATTACATTACTAATAATTAATTTCCTTATACATATATATTTTTCTCATCAGCAAAAAGAATTACAAATTCGTAAACAATTCCGTGAAACGTGCAAAACTCAAACAAAACAATATAAACGCTATAAGGCACAGATTCTCCAGACTACACCGAAGGATCAGCAAAAGGAAGTTATAAAACAATTAAAAGAAGAGAAACATCGAAAATTAACGCTTCTCGGCGAGCAGGTATGTACATAAATCACTAATCTTATTAACTTTAAAGGAAATGTTTAAAGAAATAACTGTATTTTCAGTATGAGCAAAGTATTGCTGATATGTTCCAAAGTCAGAGTTATAAATTGGATGAGACCCAAGTGATTGAGTGCCATCGTACCAACGAACAGCTGGAATACGAGCTTGATGTGCTCACTGCCTATCAAAATAAAAACAAGAAACAAGCTCAGGAACAGCGTGATCGTGAGCGTAAGGAGTTGGAAAATAGAGTAAACGTGCGAAGAGGTTTACTGGAAAGCAAGGTGAAACTGAAACGACGCTAAATTTGCAACGCTTTTGCAGAAAGTAATATTTCTCCTTTATTTTATTCAGATGAATGCAGAGTTACAGCAGTTCAATCAAGAACGCGCTGAACGTTTACGTATTAAACAAGAGAAACATGCTAGAGAACTTGAAGCTTTCGACCAGGAATCACTTTCACTGGGCTTTAGGTAAGACTTTCAAAGTTTAAACATATATATTGTTTCGTAAATGATTTAGAGATTTATGCATTAACTCTTAAAGTCGTTATTGTCACCTGCGGGTAAATGAAATATATGAAAATAAGATCTATTATGAAAATTTTGCTTGCCTTGAACTTTGAAAAAGCCTGCGGTAGCCGAGTGGTCAGCACTGCTTACTACCATTCAGAAGGCCCGTGTTCAAATCGCGTTGCGACAAACATCTAAAATTTATAAAATTATTAATTAAATAAAAAATTAAGTTCAATTTTCTAATGGCGGTCGCCCCTCGGCAGGGAATGACAATCTCTCCGATTGTGTTTCTGACGTGTAATAAAGGATCCTCATAAAAAACCATCAATCGTTCGGATGTTACTGAGTATAAACTGTAGGTCACTCCATGGGTTGGATATACATCAAGACGCAAAATCTCAAATTGGAGGAGGAGCTCGACCGAAAATCGATTCAGCGGTTAACTATTTATTGAATGATGCTCAAACCCGCCTAGGAGTGGACAAACTCAGTCACAATTCGCCATGGTACAGGAAATGACCTGTTTCGACTTTCGTTTTAGAGAGCGTTGCAAAGACGTAGCTAGTTTGGTGAGGCTTAAGATCGCTTAAGATCGACTTTAGATTTGGATACGATATTCTTAAAAGATTGCATTTAAGATAAAACAAAATTTTAAAAGAAATATTTCATTTCAAACTAGCTATATATTATTGATTAATGTTCTTACTAAAGTACAATTAATTTTTCTGTTTCACTTTCAGCGCTCTGCTTCTCAGCGAGGTATCACGTGAAACATACCCCGACGAGGAGGGTAGCCTGTCAGGTTCTATGATCAGTTTAGCGCATAGTAATAGCTCTACAAGTTTCCCTGCTGGCTCCCTATAGCATACAAACTTAAATAAGTGTAATAATGGCAATTTTAATAACTATAATATAATTTCATTAACAAATAAAAAATTTCGTAATACTAGTGATGTTGGTAAAACCCTTGTAAAAGACGACATTGAAGTAAATCGATTAAATCAAATGTCGCTCCTTCAATGTAAAAAATATTAAAAGATACTAAATAACAAAAAAAAAAAACAAAAAAAAAAAAATGAAGAAAAAACCTAATTACTAAAAGAAGGTATAAGTATGATCGATGTGAAAGTGAGTGCAAATAAAAGGATACAATTATAATAACAATTTAAACGTATTTGCAATCTAGCGCTGAAAAAAAATAATAATAATATATATGTATATGTATATATAAGTTTGTGAAATAATTAAAGCCAAACTACAATCGAGAGTTAATATACAACAAAACACATATAAATACTAAAATAAAATATCAATGCATCAATGGCAAATTCTTGAGCTATAGAGCTTAAGTATAATCGTATCGTAAACTGGCGTAGAAAACTAGCGTTAACTTTTGTATAATACTGTGAAGTAATGCTTAAAAAATATCCATTCATGTATGCATAATAAAATATAAAATATTCTGAATATAATGTATTTGCACGAATGATTGCTTAAATAGAAATGCTTTTGCGTATAAAGCTGGTGTGAAAATATAACACTTTGAATATTATTATTATTATAATTTATTTTTTTTTTTTGCAGAATATTACTTTCATGTCATAATTGATATACGGTAGATATTCGCAGTATTTGCAAATAAACAGTATTTGTATGGAGCTATGTGCATATGTGCAATAAAGTGAATGTATGCCATGCATTTATTTGGTCAAACCTAGTTATAATAGTAATAGTAAAAATCAAAATTCATTTCAATATAATTTTTATGAATTATTGATTGAAAAACAAAAAACTTAAACGTCTTAGGTGATTTTGAAATTAATTGTGCATTACTTTGAATACGATTATGGTTATGACTCCGATTATTTAAGTCTTCTGTTTTCGGAGTCGAAATTAATGAAATTGGAGACACTTCTACCAAGGGCTTGAATTTCTACGGGGAATAAGCTGATTCAAATAAAAAAATATTTTATCAGAATTTGGACATTTTCTCTGTCTTCAGTGTTACTTATAAAGTTTTTGAGTCAATATAAATCTTCTATTTGAACAAACGAACATTGTGAATAAAAATCGCACACCGTCATGGCGATATATCGTGACAACATGAACATTGAGATTTTTTTTTGGAATCGTTGGTGACTCGAGGTATTTTACTGTACCAGAAATATTTAAATCATTATATTAAATTTATTGGGTTGCCCCAAAATAAACCGGCGATTTTTCATACATACGGCGTTGGCAATTTTCCGAACAGCTTGTGACGAGGCGAACTCGTTAGGGTGAGAGCAGGAGAGCAAAAACAACAATTACCGTGCATTTTGTTTTTGTTTTCAGTGCAACAATTGTCTGATTCATACAATTCCTTTTTGTCAAATTGAATTAATAATTCAAAACAAGTCAGAAGAAAAGAAATAACAACAAAAATTAAACTTGATGTTGCTAGCTTAAAAATAACATTAACAGTAAAGTAGTTTAATTTTATGGGATGTTAGGGAATTCCTTAAGAACATATATTCGGAAGAGAATTTTGTAAGCAATGGCAAATAACGTATATTAATATACTTCTTTTATATATTATTATATTTTACTTTATTATTTCCGTAAAGGAAAAAACGAGGAGCAGGTTACGAGATGTGTATGGTGATGAAGCCTTAAAAGCAAGACAGTGTCAAAATTGGTTTCGCAAATTCCGTTCTGGAGATTTTTCACTAAAAGATGAGCCACGTTCAGGTCGGCCAAATGAAGTTGATGATAACCAAATCAAAGCATTAATCGAATTGGATCGTCATGTAACTGAGCGTGAGATAGGAGAGAAGTTAAATATACCAAAATCAACCGTTCATTATCACATAAAAAGTCTTGGACTGGTGAAAAAGTTGATATTTGGGTACCAGTTGTATTGAAAGAAATTCATTTAACACACCGAATCAACGCTTGTGATATGCACCTTAAACGCAATGAATTCGATCCGTTTTTAAAACGAATCATAACTGGAGATGAAAAATGGATTGTTTACAACAACGTTAGTCGAAAACGATCATGGTCCAAGCATGGTGAACCAGCTCAAACCACTTCAAAGGCTGATATCCACCAAAAGAAGGTTATGCTGTCTGTTTGGTGGGATTGGAAGGGTGTCGTATATTTTGAGCTGCTTCCAAGGAACCAAACGATTAATTCGGATGTTTACTGTCAACAATTGGACAAATTGAATACAGCCATCAAGGAGAAGCGACCAGAATTGGTCAATCGTAAAGGTGTCATATTCCACCAGGACAACGCTAGACCGCACACATCTTTGGTCACTCGCCAAAAACTGAGTGAGCTTGGCTGGGAACTTTTGATGCATCCACCATATAGCCCTGACCTTGCACCATCAGACTACCATTTATTTCGATCTTTGCAGAACTCCTTAAATGGTAAAACTTTCGGCAATGATGAGGCTATAAAATCGCACTTGGTTCAGTTTTTTGCAGATAAAGGCCAGAAGTTCTATGAGCGTGGAATACTAAATTTGCCAGGAAGATGGCAAAAGGTTATCGAACAAAATGGCAATTATATATTTGATTAAAGTTCATTCTAAGTTTCACTAAATATGCATTTACTTTCTTTTAAAAAATTCGCAATTACTTTTTGGGCAACCCAATATATGCATACTAAGCTCCTTTTCTAAATTTTTTTGGTAAGCAGGAATCCACATAGATGTAGATCTTTCATTTTGTCGAACTTGGAATCTAACTCCCCTTTCTATGTATAAACAAAAGCTAACGGATTACTTCGACAAGAATCCCAAACAGGTGTGAATTGGTGAAAACAAACGCCTCGATCAAGAAACCCTACTCATCTTTGCAGGCGGCTCAAACTCGACGAAAAGGAGGTCTCTCAATAATGAGTTAGCAGTAATATCAGTTACTATAGATTCCGATAGTCTCTATCGTGTAACAGTACCACATCAAAAGTAGTTAAATGTAGAAGCAATCTGAAAAAACTCTCGAATAAATGCAACACTGCCATAGCTTGGGTGCCGGGCCACTCTAAGCAATTGCACGGCAGACGAACTAGTGAGAGAAGGAGCCCTTCTATTCAAAATAAGGCATGGGCAGAATGCAGGCTTAATTTTGTCAAGGCAAAGAATATGCTAAGACAGGAATGCACGAAATGTCAGAATGAGATCCCGTGAAACTTGACCAGACAGCTATGGCTTCATGGAAAAAAGGCTTTCACTATAATGATTTTTGCCACAGAAGAACATTCTACAGAGCACTTATACTTCTTTGTTTGTCACGCTGAGCTAGCTTCAGCGAAAACTAGCTTTGCTTTTACAATGTACACGAAATGGTTCGAACATTAGAGAGAGTGAAGATAAAAGCCTCTTAATAGCGGTATCAAAATGAACATGGCATTTTGCGCTAAGTGCGTTGGTGAAAAAGTAGACTTCGCTGCCCTAATAACTCCACCTTGTTAAATTCGCCTTGGCTTGTGACTATTTAATTGTATTTTCGCTTTTGGAAGTTAAAATTTTTAACTTGCTTTCGAAAAAAGTAGGCGTAATTTTGTTTATATTTGTTCGTTTGGCGTCAATTTTGATATGGAGCCCACAAAAGAACATTATCGCAAAATTTTTCTTTTTTATTTCCTTAAAGAAAAAATACAGCGCAGTTGCTTAGTTTCCATGAAGCAAATCGTAACTGGAGATAAAAAATGTATTGTTTTCAATAACCTCGATCGAAAAAGATCATTCTCCAAGCAGGACGAAGCGCCACAAATCACTTGGAAGGCTGTTGTCAGTTTGGTGCGATTGGAAGGGTTTGTTACATTTTCAGCTGCTACCAAGGAACCAAACGATTAATTCGAATGTCTACCGGAAACAACTGGATAAATTAAATAAATCCATCAACGAGAAGAGGAAAGAATCGGTCAATTCTAAAGTTGTCATATTCCACCAGGACAACGTTAGAACGCACGCATCTTTGGGCACTCGAGAAAAACTGAAAACTGTTGATACATCCACCAAATTGCACCGTCAGGCCGCGAGTTGTTTCGATCTTTGCAGATCTCATTAAATTAACTCTTTCGAAAATGACGAGTCTATAAAATCCCACTTGGTTCAGTTTCCTTCTATGAGCATCTTTATTCCTTGCCATTGTGCCGGAAAGAAGTCGAAAAGTCATTCAACAAAAACCAAAAATATATTTAAAAAAATGTATGTATGTACTTTCTTCAATAAAATAGCATTAATTTTGATCATTATTATTTTATTTAACTGAGAAAAACTGAAAATCACTCAAATTTTTATATACTTCTTGGGTGTGGGCATCGCTTACATCATTATAGTCTGGCTCTAGTGGAATTAAGTAACTTTTTCTATACGATTTGTCGAATGGCAAATCGAAAATTGACTTATCCTTTTTATTGAAATGGTGTCAGCATAAAATGCAAAAATAATGAATGACAAAACAAATAAATTCGTAAATTCTGAAGATAAGGATCACATATCTATGTAAAAATATTTTGAGCTCGATTACTACAATAACAAATAAAAAAAATACTCCCACAACTTGCGCATTGATAGAATGGTGTTTGCCATGGACTTCTTCAAGATTTCTGGAGCTCATCATTGGCACGTTGGTGCCATCAATAGCCCTTGTGAATTGTGCCTCAAACAAATGGTGACTATGATGAATCGTAAATTTATTTTGGAGAATGGGAAATCCAATCTTGATTGCATCTGTTATGGAATTGATTCAACGGCTTACTGACGACTGGCTCATAGACATTCCCCTTTGATCTACAAAATGGGATATCATCTATTTGTAAAGAATCGGAAGGCAGTTAGAATTTTTAGGTATTCTAATCGGTTTTATGCTGAATGTCGCCATCGTCATTTAAAATGGAATACCGTTCAACGACATCGTTAACAGTATCGTCAGACGACGTTGTTGCGGTATGCTCATCAGCGTTGTAGCCATCGTTTTGTGTCGTTTCTTATTGTTAGTCATTTGATTGACCTGAATACCTAAACCAAATATGAAAAATTATCTTATGTAAAGTTTGTCTTGCAACAATTTACCGAAAAGCTTTTCAAACAAATTCTTAAAGCAGCATAGTCGTTGTTTTTGAGGGCTGAAGAATGCGTTATCGTCATTGTGACGGTAGCAACAACTTTGCTTCGCAGTGTTTGGCAGCTATTTGGTCGACATATACTAGATTATCAGCACAGCTTTCCTGTGAGAAAATCGATTATGTACTCCTGCGATAGGACCATTCAAAGTTTATGTATGAAAATTACTTTATAGACGGCTGTAGTAGCAACATTTTTTCACTAAATGAGTCCGGTTTTTTATTTGTATAACTAAGCCCGCGCCAACCCTTTTTGGACTTTTAAATATAAGCCTTTTTTTTAATTATCATTTCTTAAATACACTTAATGAGCCTCGATCGGAGCATCTTATTGCGATATTATTTACGTATTTATTACCCAAAAATTACATTGTTTGAATATATATCTGCTAAACAAGTTTGGACGGGCAGACGATATAAATTGTACTCATTCGCTGTATATGATGCATCGATTGCATCAGGATGTTTACTGTTGCGGTCTTTGACATGCTTTTAGCTTCTGTATCTGCATCTTGCTAATCAGCGGCGTCCATGTCTGCACTTGAATGGCAATTGTAGTCGTATGCCCAGCGTCGGGGTGCGGGCTCGACTTTCACTTCAAATTTTAGCCGGTACTCCTTTGTCCAGTTAGGGAAAAGAATCGCTGGTTGTAGTTCTATATGTCAAGCGGTGGATAAGTCAGGATGAGAACGAGAGATTACCAATATCATAACCTGACGCCAATATCGGAAGTCATCAGGTTATGAGATCAAACAAATGTCCTCTGATATAAAACGGATACCGAGAAAGAGCACCACCCATCCATTTCTTCAACTCCGTTTAATGATAGATGATCGGTTTCGGTTGAGACCATTGGCTATATGGGTGCTTATGTTTTTTGGACCCCTCTAAAGGGGGTTATGGTATTGGAACTTTTCGGAATCTATGATGATTTGCTGCTGGGCTCAGATGTATGAAGGACGGGACCAGCACGGCTCCAATTATCTTTGGTACTGAGAAAAGACGAAATCTCTTTGTTCGCTGGTTCCCCCGGTTTAAGCAGCGTCCACCACTCTACACAATTTCTAAATATCGGGTATTTTTAGGACGGTCAAACTCTCCTGCTGATCCTAGATGTTTTATCATCAGTATGCTTACTCCGTTGGGGCTGATGGATTTAGAGGGTTTCGCCTTCCCTTCAGAAATCAAGCGTCGCGCTGGTGTTTGGCTGTTTGCGCAGATGGCGGGTTACTTGTCGCTTCATTTTGATAATCGAAGAGTGCAGTGCGAAAAACCTTTTTTCGTTTTTTGGCTGCCTAAGTTTTCAGGGGAAAATTAGGGATGGAAATGCTCCAATCTTTCGAAAAATTTCTAACAAATTGTCAATAATTATCGAAAAATTCAAGGATTTGTGGCTAACAGGTAAATGGTGGACAGCATTTAAAGGATACCTGCGTTGCTAATATCAAGACCAAAAATATTCCTTCTTAGAAGATTAAATACTGACAGCCGGTCCTTCACGGTTGAGTCTTTTGCCACAGTCTCCGCATTTTCGTTATCTCTTCTCAATTTCAAGACAACGTGACGGCGACGGGAGATTTTGTCGCGTAAAAACTGTGTACGTAACGCATAGGATGGTATACAATTATTTAATAATCCTTCTCGAAACAACATTCATAGCGCAAGTACTTCAGACTTTGTTAAAGGATTTTGAAGTAAACAATATAATTTACCGAGTATATCATTTTAGATGAGGTCATTTAATACGACAAATGTAATGAATGAAGTAATAAATGAATCTTATAAACTTTTCTATTTAAATAGGCTCAATAAATGCAATCAATTTGCATTGATCGCAACAGTCAATGTAATTATTACATAAATCTGTTGATTAAGATAATAAACTATCTATGAATGTGTTTTTATTAATAATTTTGGTTGTGGCTATAATAAATTCAACATTATTATCTTCTTGTTGCGATAAAAATCTTAGGGCTGCTATTTCTGCAAAAGTGCAGCCTCCTATAAAGAAAACTAAAATTACACGAGGAATGTTAAAAGCGGAACCGTCCATCGGCGTAGATATATTGTGGCGTCCACCAACACCAATCAAAGGTGCTTGAAAATCTTCAAAAGTAGGACCTGGTAAATTAATAATTTGACTCTTCAATGCTTGCCATCCCAAAGGTTTGAGTGTTTGTTCGACAATACGAGCTGTAAGCGGTGCGTAAAAACTATGAACGTAACTAATATCTTTTGGCTCCACCTCGACGACATCATCCACTGTCAAATTGAGTGTCTGTTAAGCAAATGTAAAAATAGTACGTAATTGTGTGTGCAACTTTCACTACTATTAAGCAACTTTTAGGCAGTTTTTAACCTGCCACCTACCTTGCGTAGCACCGCATAAGATCGTGATTCTGATTGAGTATACAAAAGGTTTGCCTTCTCCAAATTACTAATTTTTAGTAATACATTTAAACCAAATACTTGCACCAGCTCACGTTTATAGTAGTTTAAAATCTGTAAAAATAATTTTTTCATATTTTAATTTAGAACATATTAATATATCTAGTACAGAATGCGGCTTTAACTTAGGATTGCGGTGTTAAAAAGAAAATACCAGTATTCTATTTGTATGAATGAAACTATATTAAATTTTAAATTAATTAAATGATTCTTTATGAAAATGCTTTTATACTCTTCTTCGATATCATTAGTCGGCATCTTGTTTAAAGAATCTAAATTAAATGATAGGTGTATTTACAAACATATGTATATTAAAAAGCTGTTGCAAGGAATTTGAAGTTAGCTTTCGCATAGACTATAGTTCCCTCTTCCTCAACTTATACAACAATCGTTGAATGGTAAACCCAGTCTGTTATCTTTCCCTGATTATTTCCACAGAAACTCAACTATAACCAAAACATGTTTGGAGCAATTTGAGCTATTTAAATTCTTTGAGATGCACTATTTTAATATTAGCATTATTTTTCTGGTCCTCAGCATAAACGACAAGACTGCTTTAATAATTTTAAATAATTTAACCAAAAGTGACTGTTTTTCTATTTATTTCTTATAACTATTGTATTAACCTTTTCTTTGAATCCTGAAGCGGCAGCACATTGCATAGTAAGAAGTCGTAGAATTTTCTGAAGATCACCTTTTTTCGAAATTAAATCCTCAATATACGGACTGGCTTTGTCTGTGTCTTCACACATCATAAACTCTTGTTCAGCTGCTAGATCATCGGAAAATTCATACTGATCTATATGTTTACGGATTATTTCCGCAATTGTAGTATGAACTGCGACAGATTGTTTTTGTGCTAACAACGCCGGCAATTTATCGACAAACCGTTTCATATCTTGTACTGACGAATCTTGTCCACTTGTATTCATTTGGGCGCTAATATCACGAGCATTCTTGGCTAAAACTTTACCTACTTCATTAAAATTTTTATTTCTCAGATCAGAGTAAAGTTGATCTCCAGAGTTCAAGAATAAAGTCTTTTTGCCAGCTACAAGTTGGGATTGAGCTGAGATTTGATCTTCTGTGTTGTTAGTGAAAAGTTCTGCTGGTAATATAAGTTGATTGTTTTTGATTCCAAAAATTTCGTCTATTAAACCCTCATATGTGAGCTGGGTTGCAACAGCACTTATTATGTCTATTGAGCGATCAAGTAAAATAACTTGATCTATTAAACCTTTATCACTATTCAAAACTTTTTCCTCTGTACCTAATTGCTTTGCATGTTCCCAAACTCTTTGCGCATTGTTGCCTTTTCCATATATTTTTGGAATGCGTCCATATAATCGTTGTAGTTGCACTAGTCCCACCGCAGCTTGATATAACATCGTCGGATCACCATTCACAGCCACATCTCGAAAAGAAATAGGTATTTCCATTGAAACAATGTCCTTATCAATTGGAAAGAAATTCCAGTTTAACTCTTTGATTTGGCTGATACTATCATAGACCTTTAAATTTTCTAACTGTTTAATACACAAGCAGGAGCGACGAGGCACAAAATATATTTGATATTGACATTTTTTGACAGAATTTTTCTTCACTTGCTCAGCAATTATATCCATTAACTTGGTCTGAGTCCGAACAATGTATATCACATTCAATACGTCGTGAGGTAGTTTTGAATCCGCTTGTAGTTTAAGTAAGATAACATTTCGCTCGGAAAAAAGGGAAGGAGGAGCTACTAGGCCAATGGGACCTAGAATTTCCTCATCTAAAACCACTACTTTCGTGCCTGCAGTCTGTTCTAAGAGATCAGCAATTTCTCTCCAGGCATACTCTTGCAAAAGTTGAATATTTACACGCCGACTTTGCAGATATTGAAACATTTAGAAGGAGGATAATGAAAACTCTTTACTAGTTCAACTTTAAATCGCATTGATACTTTTTGATTTACAATACCTATCGATCAATAAAATCGATTGTTTTTGTAAACATTATAATGAATTCAAACGCTCGAACTTCTTGCTTAATGCGGCAACTAGACAAAAACAGCTGTTACAACATATCTGCAGAAAACGCCTTGTAAACGAAAACTTATCGTTACTGAAGTTTGTCAATAAAATATAAAACTTCGTAATGAATTATTTATTATATTTGAATCATAGATTGTGTTTATATTCGAACAGATAAATAATGAAATTTGTTGAGAAAAATTTTATATTAGTTTAAAAGTATTGTGGTGAAAATCTAACTACGAATGCGAGGATAAAAGACGAGGTCGAGATTAAAAAAAACATGTTAACTTGTTACGTTCTACATATTGATGTTGTTAAGTTATAAATACTTTGTAATAGTGATTATACTTTCATTATAAATTTTTACTTGAAACGTGTACTAATACCATATATATGTTGTAATAAAGTAGCTTTAATGTGTTCACATGTGATTACAAAGATTTTTGTATTTTTAGTTTATTTAATTAAACAGCTTAAACCAATTTAATTATTTTTTTTCATTATTAACTCCTGATGTCCTGTGCAGAAGAGTTATTTCGGTCGTTCTGAATTATTTAATATCTTACGCACTGGTCCGCAGTTGATTCTTTTGGTTTAATTTACATTACCTGTCAGCAATATCTTTAAAGCCATCGAAACTGATGCAGTGCGTAACTAAGCGTTATATCGTAAACTTTGTTGGCGAGAGACTTTAATATGGTTAGTTCGGTGTTAGTCGAAATACACCAGTACATAATTCAATCGATATTTTAGAAAAATTGCCGGCTTTCAGTTTTTGAAACACATACAAAATTCAACTTAATGATTATAAATAATAAATAAAATATCCTATATAGAGCTATGGGCTTATTGGCCGCATATCGTTAGCTATTCTCCCGAACGGTAAAGTCGCGTGTGTTGGACTGGTGCTTTACTGACTTTTCCATGCGAACACTCCAAACAAAAATTGTCTCACAATTTATCACGAACGCGTTTATTGAGGTGCAATCTTAAGTGCTGATGACATAACGAATTCGCCTTTTGGAGAATTTTGGTAATTTCAAGGCGAATTTATTAATGAATGGGCCTTAAGAATTTCTTGTTGGTAGATATAATTGTAAATATATTGTTTTCAGCTGTTTGTTTATTGGACGCTATCTGTTTAATAAACCAATAATTTGGGTAGGATAGTGTATTTTTAAAGAATAATAATGGATACTTACTCTACGAAGGATCCTATGCGTGCAGCACTTAAAAAGCTTATTCAACATTCAAAGTAAGTTTATTTTGCATTTGCACAGCTGTGTCTTCTTTTTGTTGTTTACAGATGTAGTATTTTATTCATATATAACGGATATTGTTAAGCGGTTTCCATTATTTTACTTGTGTTTTCTATTTTCCTTTTCCAGCGCTCCTTTTACAGCGGACGATGTTTTGCGAGAATTTCGTACAACCAAAGAAAAGCGGTCTAATCGAAAGCTATTAAAAATTTTAGAAATAATCTCAAAACACCAACCTAAATCTGAAGAATATTTGCTCGAAGCATCCAAGTTATTAGAAAAGTAGTATTTGTCTTTCTACGCAAGATTTGTGATATTGTAATTTACACCTTATTTCTTTTCTTATTTTTACTTAGGAAAGATCCATTTTATTGTCTGTTAAATTTTCTTAATCATTATTCTGAGACGAACATTATGCAGGCAATACGAAAAAAGGATTTGTCCACTTCAACACCACTCTTAAGTAAAAAAATGTTTGAAACAGTTACTCCTGATAGCGTTTCAGAGGTAACGTTTTAAAATAAGATATTTTTAAAGCTTGTAAACTATTATCCCTATATTTCTTTAAGATTAAAGAACGGGTGGTATTGGCAGCCACTGGAGGACTAACGCGTGTGGGGCAAAATACCTCTGCGGCTAATATGTCTGGATCTCATTCACCTCCACCTTTAGCATTGCCTGCTTGCAATAAAAATCATACTGATGGAGTTTGGGATTACCGCACAATTGATAATCTTCATTTTCAACAAAATAATATTAGTGCTATACCAATCAGTAGTCAAGAAACGTTGCTTCTGTACGATCTTATATATTGTTTAACTGGCATGAAAGGATCTTACATAACTTCCGAAGAATGTGTGAGCACTGGTCGTGGTGAAAGCACCACTGTTAAATTCAAAATATCCGAACAAATTCATAGTTCCTTGAGAGATATTGCAAAAGAAATCTTGCCTTTAGCATCATACTTTACATGCATTGAACAGTTTATACAGAAAGCAAGTTTTACCGAATGTGGTCAGGTGCTACAAGCGTTGAGTGAAGCACTAAACAATTTAATACGAGATTATTATGTAAGTATTTCAAAATTACTTAGATTTACTATTACCAGAAACGTATAATATTACTCGTTAACAAAAAGTGCTTATAAATATTCTTGAAATTAAATTACACCTTCCACAAGTCAATCATTCTAAGACATTTAGTTTCATTGTTTTAAGGTATGTTAACGTGATGGTGTAGACAGCTATGTTTTTTTTTTCGTAATTTAAGCACACATGGTTTTATTAGAATAAAAATGATTTTATGTTATTAGCGCTAAGCTTATACTAGCTCTAAGCCATTTTGTATTTACATTATATTTCTAAAACTGGTGCACTAAACAAAAACTTTATAACCGACTAGCTGCTTCTAGCTCAATTGGAGTCAGAGTTGAATGTAGGAAATCTAACGGTTCACAAGATGCTATTTTATGTAAGACCAACCTTGAATACCATGGATGTTTTGGCCGCTGTTGTATCGGATATCTCAGAGGTAATGTTTGCTAATTAATATAATATGATTTCAAATAACTTATTTTTTTAACAGAATGAATTACGTGGTGGTCAAGTGTTGACACTTCTCTATAACAAGATCAGTGCTCTGACAGGAGATGAGGAGTCACAGAAGTTTGTTATTCAATTAACACAGTTAGCATCAGTACCGTACATGGAAATCTTGCAGCTGTGGGTTCAAAAAGGTGTGATTTGTGATCCACAGCAAGAATTTTTGGTAGAAGACAATGAAGTTATACGTAGAGAGGAGTTACCTGAGCACTACTCGGCTGATTACTGGGAGAAACGGTTAAATGATATATTCAACAATTAAATACACTTGTAATACGAATTATTTATTACAGTTACACAATACGTCGTGAACGCATACCATGCTTCTTAGAAAAAGTTTCCGATATAATATTGCGTACGGGTAAATATTTGAATGTTATCCGTCAATGTGGCAAAAAAGTAACACCTCCGCAAATAATGAATTTACAATTTTCACCGACAAATCAAAATCATATAAACGTTATTCAAAATGCATACCAATTTGCTTCAAAGAACCTTTTGGAGGTACTGCTAAAGGAAAATGAACTAATGGGACACCTGATGTCTGTCAAGCGTTATTTATTGTTGCATCAAGGTGATTTCATCACCCAATTTATGGATGCATGTGAAGAAGAATTAGCAAAGAACGTTGACAAAGTGTTGCCAATGACATTGGAAAATTTGCTCGGACTTACATTGCGTTTGTCCTCTGCTAAACATGATCCATATAAGGACGATGTGCATTGTGAATTATTAACCTATGACCTAGTGACACAAATGTCAAAAATTATGAACAACGAAGAAGGTATGTTGGTAAACAAATTACGCCTTTTTTTTAATTAAATTAGTATTTATTTGTTTCATAAATTTTCATTGTTATTTTAGAGTATTGGCAATCACATGACCGATTGGACTTAAATGGCTTGGAATGTTTTGCATTTAGATATGAAGTGAAATGGCCTGTTTCTCTGGTTCTGAATCACATAGCGATTTCAAAATATCAAATGCTTTTTAGGCAGTTATTTTACTGTAAACATGTTGAGCGGCAGTTGTGCAAGTAAGTTCAAAATTTCCAGTTTCGATGTAAAGATATTCAATATTAACCACATTTATATTCGACTGCGGAAACTGTTAGTTATTAGGGAAGGAGACATAAGCTGTAAGAAGTTAAAACCAATATTCCAAACGCAAAATACAATAATGTATGTTTTCGTCATGTAAACTAATTGTAGTTGCAGTTAGTGGTAATACAATGGGGCCAGGATCGATCCTCATTAGCTGATGCTAATATTTGGAAGTGTCACAAATATCCGCCAATCATTCGGGAGACTAGCTTCGGGTGAACCGAAAAATAGATAATCGACTGATGACATGGCTAGTCCGAACTTACTGCGCGGTCAATCAATATTATCGGCATACGACAGCAATTGTAAGCACTAAAGAGATTGTATCCTTTTTATTTAGTACTACAGCTCCTATTATTTTCTCCAGTGAAGAAATCTTACAATAATCTTACGGCTTATATTATTTTTGTTGTCTTAGCAAGTGCAAAATATTCTCCGCATAGGTTTCCGGGGTATAATGGCAGAAGTGACGATCCCTCCCCGGATAAAAAGGGGTGTCGCTCGGTGTAAAGATCCGACTGTCGAGGCAACTATTGAATTTTAGTCGCTTCTTACAGACATGACTTACCACGGGTAAATTGTCTGAAGCTTCGTTTGGTACCAAACAGATCGGAGAGGTCTTCTAAAATTCTGACTGTAGCTCAGTTTGGGCAGCTGTATAGTTGATACGTGGATACCGAGCTCGGACGCAGCGGCAGCTCCTTTTCGTGCTTTCGAGTTGGTCGAAAACAGTTTTAAAATCGGTAAACAGGAGATGTGTGTATAGTTTCTTTTCTGACAATATTTTCATAGATTTGACACATGATGAATATCTGATTTGCCAGGTCTGGCTGTGGGCTTTAATCTCCCATTCAATACGCTGGGTAGGATCTTATATGCAATATTGAGGAGGTTGTTGACGCGCGTTTTCGGCTCCGATGTTATGACCTCGGACGTGACTTCCGTCTATTACAGTATGGTCGATCGGACGGAAGGAGATGGTGTTTAGATGATTTATTTTTAGTAGGCATGCAAAGAAATTGTCAGTGTCGTGCATATTTGTTATGTCGAGGTCAAGGCATTATAGGTAACAGTTAAATTGTCTAAAATACTTAAATTTTAATTTTGAAAATATTACTCGGGTCTCGCGAAACATCTCAAGCTCTGGATCTGCTATAGGTATTGGCAGAAAGTTTATGAGGTAGAACTTAGAATCCTGTTGGCAAACCGTCTTGCCCTGCGGGATCTTGAGTTACATCAGGGGCATTATTCTTACGGTCCTCACCAGCCTCAATCGTATGCTGAGTCAAGGAGTGTTGCTGAAAGTGATTCCGAGGACTTTGGGGTTATTAAAGGTAGAAATTTAGACGTCGCCGACTTTCACATTCAGTTTGAGCCGGTATTCTTTCGATCAGCTGGTGCAGAGTTGTAGTGTAGTGGTGAAGTTCTCTTTCTTTTAGCCGTGGAACAAGGATCCACACGGGTTGGTTAATTGAGTAAAGCCTGCAACTGTTAGCTGCCCTTTTTATAGGCAATTACATTACACTACATTAATTTATCCACATTTTCAACACTTGGCCATCCGTCTTTTATATCAAAATGACCGGAACGAAATCGACGAAACCAAAATTGTCCAGACTTGACTGTTACCTTATCAGAACCATAAATACCATTCAATTTTTCAGCTGCCTGACTTGCGGTTCCGTTTTTACCGAAGAATGTTTTTTACCGAAGAATGTATGTTTCTCTTTCCATTTACCATGGGCTCAAAAACTACTGGGTTAAGCTCAAAACTTTTTCCGTTGCCTTGTTTTAGTATAAAATATCATCTTTCTAATGCCATCTTGTGGAATCCTATCTCATTTATAGAACCTGACATACAGATCATTAAACCCGTCTGCTGTAAAAATATTGGATTATTTTTTCGGTTGTAGGGAGGCTGCATCTTAGAGCGGTCAGATCTGGGAATTTCCGCAAAAGGAGTAAAAAACATTTCCGTGCCAAGCTGCGTTTAAATAATGACTTCGGATATAATCAACTTATCTCGTCCTTCTGATCCGATTATACGTCTCTCCCACTTCTGGTAATAGCTTGCCTCATCATGCAGTCTATTCAATCGCCGAATAAACTACTACTGGACAGTTTTGATGCTAAATAGCTCCGAAATATAAGTTTAGTTGCCTTCTGACTATCGACTTTTCATCTCGGCTATTATTTGCAAAAATCTAAAAATTTAATTTAATGCGTTTAATATAACTAAGATTCATTATTTTAGGCACTGAGATTATATTTACTATTGCTTCTCTGTTTTTATATTTTTAGGATATGGAAAGAGAACTCGATAGCTAAGAAGTTTTCACCCCAGGCGGCGGAGCTTTATCGGTCTGCATTTACTTTACGTCAGCGTATGATGAATGCCGTTCAAAATCTCGAGTATTACATGATGATTGAAGTTATTGAACCCAACTGGCATATTTTTATCCAGAATATGAATAAGGTATGTACATATACAAAACTTTTGTTATAGGTAACAAATTTTTAAAGAATCTTTTTATAATACATCTAGGTGGAAAATGTGGACGAAGTGCTTTCCTTTCATCAGGATTTTCTTGATTCCTGCTTGAAGAACTGCATGCTGACGGACACCACGTTATTAAATCGTTCTATTTTCAAGCTTTGCAACATATGCCTAAAATTTTGCGAATTCATACAGGTAAAGATTCTGCAATTTGTTATATACACGTATTACCCTTTTTATATTAATCTGTAGAAAATTTTACAAATATTAATGAGAAATATTTGAATCACTATGTTTTTATTGATAATAATTTGAGTTAATTAAATAAACCTTCAAGTATAAAAAGTTAAAAGAAAATATAAAATACAATATATTATACATATACATACATAAACTTATGTATTTTCTCCATTTAATACAAATTAGTTTAAGGATTATAAGCATTCATTTCTTTAAATACCAAACTATTACTCTGATATATGCATAATATTTCCCTTGATCTTATTTACCTATTGACTAAAAAGAAATCACAACGTTTTTTTCTTGACGCTGAGCTCAAGTCGATGGTCTGCGACAGCAATGATGAGGAAAATTCTGATTCGGATGTTGATTTTTCGAGTCAGAAGCAGGTATTAGGAAACTGAATTAATACTAGTGTACATATATGTAACATACTTCCTAACAATCATTAAAATCTCATAGTATGTAATACAGTTTTAAGACTTAATTATTTCTTATGTTATTGCTAATTTAATTTCTAAATTTTATTCATTAATACTTACATTTTTTATGTAGAATTTAACAAATGTGTAATATGTATTTTTCATGTTTTTGCTAGTCTGAATCATCTATGGTACCAAGCGACACATTTTCGGAACGCGTTAAGCGCTTTGACTTGGAGTTTACTGGCATTTTAATTGGACTTATAAAACAAATCAATGATGTAGCTTCAGATAATCCATCAGATCGCTTTATTAACCTTGTACATCGTATTAATTTCAATTCATTTTATAACCAGCAAATTGATAAATTATGTGCTAAAGATTCGATGTTGTAACATGAGTAAACTAATTTTTTGCAGTATTTCATATATTTAAAAAGAATTCTTGTTAGTTAACCAGTGTTATACGTTTTTTCCAAATAATAAAAATGCGAGCTTTTCGTTGTTCAGAAACTATCTTTTATTTCTCTCCAAAATGCCTATGTTTATATAATTAGATAATAATGAATATATAAAAACACAATATATACAACTGAATTTATAACGATCCGAAGTCCGACGCTTTATCCATTAGGCCACACGGCCGTCTATAAATATCGCACAAGTTGCCTTAATGCCAATAAGCATTTAGTTTTTCAGTCTCCATGGAATATAAGGATCTTTTCAGCACTTAGTGTTGTGTATCACAGTCACACATCTCCAGTTTGGTCTAAAATTTAACCATGAATCGTCTTACAAACGAACAACGCTTGCAAATTATTGAATTTTATTATCAAAATTTTTGATCCGCTAGGAAAGTTCATCTCCGCGCGCGCTTTGAAGCTCATTTTCGGCTTAATGAGTGCGTAAATAAGCAGAATTGTCGATTTTGGAGTGAAGATCAGCCAAAAGCATTGCATGGGCTACCAATACATCCAGAAAAAGTCACAGTTTATTGGCTGGTGGCATTATTGGACGGTACTTATTCAAAGATGATGCGAATCGTAACGTAACTGTGAATGGTGTGCGCAATCGTGAAATGATGTCAAAATTTTTTTTTGCCCAAAATGCAAGAGCTTGACTTACATGACATGTGGTTTCAACAAGACGGTGCCACATGCCACACAGCACGCGTAACAATGTAGTTATTGAGAGGCGAGTTCCGTGAACATTTTATTTTACGTTTGGGACCGGTTAATTGACACCCTTTATATATCTGATATGAATATTCAAATCCTGTTAGACTATGAGAAGCGATTGGCTAAGACAAGGTGAACAGTTTGAGCTTGTTCGAGCTGAACACCACTCACAGACGTCGTATTATCGTGGCAGGAGAAAAATTTATGATATGCGGTCAATACATCCCATAGCCGTATATGGGAGCATTCGAACAGACACGGTATACCACGGCAGATACTCAGCTGGTCCTTAACATAAATATTGCATAATTGCAATGCCAAGGAGGTTGGAAGCAGCAGTTATCAGTGCAAAGGGAAAACAGACAAAGTATTAGCTTATGAATTTTCTAATTATTCCCAAACTCCACACTTTGTTTTGCCTGACTGTGACCTTAAGTATTTAATGAAACAAATTTATAGTTTTATGTTTTTATTTTTCAAAATAGTCTCCCACACGTGAAATACATCATTGAAAAAATATTCATTAGACTTCTCTTCAAAATGGACGTCTGAAAATCTTAGTCCCCGCAGCTCCTTTTTTAAATTTCACTGGGAGTCAGATCGAGACTGTAGAGTGGATGGTTAATTTCTGAAAATTCAGTAGCTTTTAAGGCACCCCTCGTAACCCAAGCGGTTTGAACGGGTGCGTTGCCTTGAAGATACAGAATTATGCATGATAACTTACCTCGTCTGTTCTGAACAACTGCTTCACTTTTCTGGCCACAAATCACGTAATATTGGCCGTTTATTGTCTATCCCTTTGGCAAGTAATCAATTAATGATATTCCCTCGCTATCCTAGAAAATGGTAGCCAGACTTTTCCATTTGGAATTTTTTGGTGGTCTCTCTCCTTGTTTATCTACTGCGTCCACACCTTTTGGACTCGGGCTAACACTGAGGAATCCAAGGTTCATAAACTGTTACAATGCGGTTGTAAATTTCATCCAAATAATCTTTACACAACTTCAAAAAATCTATATAGCTCTCTAACCGTCACTGCTTGTCGAGCGGTGTAAGCATTGGCGGTACCCAAGCGCACTAATTTTTTTCATATTCAAATTCTCATGGAAAATCGCTCCAGCTCTTTTTTTACTAATCTGTAAATTTTTAATTTAATTCTTCGATCCGCCAGTACTAGTCGACTTTCTAAACATTTTCTTCGATCATGACTGTCACTGGGCGGAGTTCACCTTCCTAGGCCTCTCTTCCTCATTGAAACAGCCGGGCAGAGACCTGAAGAACCGATGACATCTTTTTACAAATTTCTTTCGCTGTGTTTCCTTGTTTACAAGCGCGGTGCTCCTAATAAAAAAGTTGTGTTATTTATCCTCATTATTCCCGTAATTAGTATTAACAGTAACGAGATGAAGTGCCATCATGACTATCTTGAGTCTCGAACTTATCAGCTGCCCCTCGTATCTCGTTTCGATATATTTTTGCGTCGACATTCACACAAAATGAGCCGACGAAGCACAGTGTCTCTCTCCCATATTAAATGTGGACAAAAATAAAAGTTTTTAGCCTTGCTAGTTTGAGGATGCTGATAATTTTAACTTAAATGTTGCTTCTTCTTCTTTATAGCGTTGCACCTTTACTTCCTTACTTATTTTACTGGCGTAGACCAGGCTTACGCGATTGTAGCCGAACTTATAACATTGCGCCATTTATTACTTTTTCTTGCTGTTTGGCCCCAATTGCAGACACCAAGTAGCGCCATGTCCCTCTCTACCTGGTCTTTCCAACGAAGTGGAGGTCTTCCTCTGCTTCTAACGGCGGGTACTGCATTGAAAACTTTCCAAGCTGGAGTATTCTTCCATACCGATCACATGACCTATCCAGCGTCAATGTCAAAAGTAATTTTAATGTTAAATATCAAAAAATATTGTGTAGAACTTAAATAAAACGTTGCTGATATTAGGCGTAGTAAAAAGTAATCCATTATTTTTCCAATAGATGTCGCTATTTATCTTAGATTACAGAGAGCTTTTCTGACAGTTTTGTGATTGGTTGATTCAGTTTAATTTGGGCGTGCGTCAAAGATGAAAACTATTGGGTTGCCCAAAAAGTAATTGCGGATTTTTTAAAAGAAAGTAAATGCATTTTTAATGAAACTTAGAAAGAACTTTAATCAAATATAATATATAATTGTCATTTTGTTCGATAACCTTTTGCCATCTTCCTGGCAAATTTAGAATTCCACGCTCATAGAACCAAGTGCGATTTTATAGCCTCATGCCGAAAGTTTTACCATTTAAGGAGCTCTGCAAAGATCGAAATAAATGGTAGTCTGATGGTGCAAGGTCAGGGCTATATGGTGGATGCATCAAAAGTTCCCAGCCAAGCTCACTCAGTTTTTGGCGAGTGACCAAAGATGTGTGCGGTCTAGCGTTGTCCTGGTGGAATATGACACCTATACGATTGACCAATTCTGGTCGCTTCTCCTTGATGGCTGTATTCAATTTGTGCAGTTGTTCCCAGTAGACATCCGAATTAATCGTTTGGTTCCTTGGAAGCAGCTCAAAATATACAACAATAAATAAAATAAAATATCCCACCAAACAGACAGCATAACCTTCTTTTGGTGGATATCAGCCTTTGAACTGGTTTGAGCTAGTTCACCATGCTTGGACCATGATCGTTTTCGACCATTTTTTATCTCCAGTTATGATTCGTTTTAAAAACGGATCGAATTCATTGCGTTTAAGGTGCATATCACAAGCGTTGATTCGGTGTGTTAAATGAATTTCTTTCAATACATGTGGTACCCAAATATCAAGCTTTTTCACCAGTCCAAGACTTTTTATGTGATAATGAACGGTTGATTTTGGTATATTTAACTTCTCTCCTATCTCACGCTCAGTTACATGACGATCCAATTCGATTAATGCTTTGATTTGGTCATCATCAACTTCATTTGGCCGACCTGAACGTGGCTCATCTTTAAGTGAAAAATCTCCAGAACGGAATTTGCGAAACCAATTTTGACACTGTCTTCCTTTTAAGGCTTCATCACCATATACATCTCGTCGTTTTTTCCTTTACGGAAATAATAAAGTAAAATATGACGAAAATTCTCCTTTGTGGGCTCCATATTAAAATTGACGCCAAACAAACAAATGTAAACAAAATTTCGCGCACTTTTTTTTCTAAAACAAGCTAAAAGTAACAGCTGAATAGCAAAAAAAACGCTATATTTTAAAGTTTTTCTCAATAAAGACGAAAACGCAAGCCATATGAAAATATGAGAAGCGTTTATACTCCTGATACTGTAACACTGTTTCGATTGCCCAGGAGCTAAATATTGCACAAAAAACCGCTTGCAACCATTTGAATAAGGCTCGATAAAAAAAGAAAAAATTAAACCATTCAAATCATTAATATTAGCTGTGTTCGTTGAGAAAGTAGGATGTTTTACCCTCCCCAAAAAAGAAAGAAATCTACTGAGCTTTCAATGAACAGGATTCAGTAAAAATTAGCCAGCAAGTTTTACAACAGCTGTTTATTGTGGCGGTCAAATTTGAGTCCGTTCATTTGTACAGTTTCTTTTTTTCTGATTTAAGGTTTTGAATAAATTGGCAATTATATATTGTTTTATTGTTAATTTATTAATTGTATTCTAATTTTATTGCATTTTAGCAACTATGAATTTCTACATGCTTTACACTCATCTAACGATAAAGATACCAATATGCTTTTTTTTAAAGTCGTCTAAAAGCACGTATATTTAACTAAAATTTGCTTTGCAACAATTTGTCGCATAGATTTTGAGTAAAGTCGACTGAAATACGAAAATAAGTTTGAAATTCTTTTTTCGTGTAAGTCAGCCATATTAACTCAACATTTATATAGAACTTATACGATTCTGCAAGAGCTTTACTTTTTCTTCTAAATACTACTAATATTTCATTTTGTGCATCATCGTCGCTTCCGGAATCTTAAGAAAGAATGCATCATCGTCGCTATGGCCGCAGCAACAACCTTGCTTTGCAATGTTTTCAGGCTCATTGGGTTGACACTACTTTCTAGTAAATTATAGTAATCCAAAAAGAATTTGCGTTTAACAAAAAATAATAATATATTATATGGTGGAATGATGATTCCACTACATTGTCAGCGTATTTTTCTTTACTGAGTACCTTAACTATTTGATGTAAAGGCTGATACCATTTAATTTACTTT